AGGTATCGATAATCGGAGACTACACCCCTTAGGCAAAAGGACATATTATAAAACGTGAGCTTTGTTAAAAATTTTAGTACAAGAATCACGCCATAGATTCGCATATTATCATTATACATTCAGTTTATTCCAAGTTGTGCTTTTACGATACGCGCAATGCCACGTAGATAGAAATTCAGCAGATTCTGTGTACGTAATATGGGTTTTGGTACCAACCCTCTTTGGACCCAGATCCAATTAGATTGAAGACAAAATACAGCATTTTATTTGACTCTGTTCATTTTGTAGCTATACCACTACATTCCTTCGGTATCTAGTCAAGATCACATGAATCAAGGCACATCGGATATCAACCCCACGCAAACCCCGCCTCTTGAATATTCCCTCACATGTTTGACGATACAATACGACACAAGATACATTACCGTATTCAAATCAATGTGATATAATCATAAATAATAACATCCGAGCTATAAAGCTCGATATACATATTACACTTGGACACTTCAAACCATTACATAAAATACCCGAAAATCTTAGAGGTTCGGAGAAGTCGTGAGGTATGCGACAAATAGGACAGCTTTGTAAGGCCCTATAAACAATACTGATTGTAACGACAGATTTAGCGTCCAACGGTGCTATTAAAAATCCTAAAACGCAATCGACTGCGCTCGTCTCTCGTTGATCCTAGTAATCGCAATTGATACTAGGTATTCGAAACATAGGGGAATTAGCTGAGAACCGTTTTGAGGCGCGAACCATAGAAAAGCACATACTTTTAGTAATTCTTTTACGGTGCAGCCAACATTTTAACAAGCCGACAACACGGAGTTGCAAATATCGGTAGTGAACACCCGTTCACAGCGAATCGCTGGGTAACAAACATTTTTTTTTTTACAAAATAAATGTCTTCGAACCAATTTAATAAGGTGACAAATTTCAGTAAAGCGCTTGCTTTTTTTTCTAAAGACACCTATTCATCCTTAAACTAAAATCTCATTGGACCTTTTCTCTAAATTTGCGAAACACCGAGGTCCGAATCGCAACATCTTCCTTAGTTGGTGAATTGAAACATACATAATATCACAGTCCATATGCGCCTTTATATAAGAAGAGCATAATTAAAAACTAAAAATATCCAGAATTGTCCATATATGTAACATTAATCCTTTGTGAACAGCGAGCTCTCATAGTTTTATCATATAAAAACACTACATGGGATTCGAACTATCGAAGGTATATAAATAGATAAGCTTTGATGTCGCTTTTCTTAGAAACGAAAGGTATTACTTGGCATATACTTTTTTTTTTTGCACTGACGTTTATCTGAGTCCTGCTCTGCTCATAACCATAAACTTACGTCTAAATGTCTCACAGACATCTCACTAAAATGTAGATTTTCGACGAGCGATAATATTCCATAAAAACGTCGTAACCTCAACATCAAGATGGTCATTCTTCATATTACGGCATATCAGCCATTGACAGTTAGAAAACCAGTTGACACCCAGCTTTTCGTTACCATTGCCAAATCGATGCTACATTTTACGCATGAGATCTTCTACCAGCTGTCAGTTTATATCCCACAGTAACAGCAGAACTCCGTATGATTCTCAGCAGGTCAATGGCAAAGAGATAGTCATGACTCCATAGCCCTTGCATAATGCTAGTAGCAATATGGCGCTAGTTCAATCGAACGGCAAAGCGACGCTAGTGAGCAATTTTCTATCATTATTTTACGGATACACAAGGATCAATGAAGTTGACTGCGGTCATTTCATTGTTGTCAGGTGTGTAAATTAAGCGAAAGTCGGCAAACGTTGGACACGGTTAACATTGTCGACCGTATTTATTTGGAAAATGCTTAAGGGAGACCCTTAAGACCCTTAAGGGAGGCACATGATTCTCAGTCGGCGAACTATTTTTGCAACGGATACAATTTGTGAATACGCTGGAGGAACTTGTTGGTAATACATCACCCATCACATGGTATCTCATATAGCTTGGCCTGGATACTTACTTAAATATATCTCTATATTTAGAGTTTTACGTCCGGTATCGCTACCTTTAAGCTGTCATTCCATCGGACAGACGGCTGGCTCCCAGCCATCGCAGAATAAAGTCTGTCTGTCTATGCCTAAGTTAGAACTTAGCTATATCTACCCTGGCTCAGCTCACAGAATGAGACGCAAGAAGGATTCCACCTGTGTAAACCAATGATTAGCTCAATAAAACGCCACCGTGTACATTTATGCAGCCTAGATATAGCAAAAAATAAGGAAATATTGCATCGAGTTTTGTCCGATGTTGTGAGAGGATGACGTGTCTAATTAGCTACATGCGCAGAAAAAACCGACGTTATTATTGGCGCCTATACGGTGTTTGGCGGTTATAACACACATACATGCATGTCTATATCTCAAAGCAATATTTACGCTTTTTTGCTACTAAAGGTACTTCCCGGTGTCTGTTATTGTAGAAGTACAACCTATTTACGTCTAGGTAGTTATTTTTTGTTGGCAAATGTTTCATTTTACGGTGCTTGCTTCTATGTATGTATACCCAACTCCCAACAGCCCATAATTTCCTTAAAGCGGCTTTGAGAGATGTTGGAGCTGCCGACGTTTGCTTCACCCATTGTACCTTTTCCTTTCTAATTTGCACAATAGCTGCTACCACATAGCCGATCGCAACTGATCACGCGTGTGGCGATAAGCTGCATTAGAATACTTTGGAAGCCAATGACTTTTTTTATCACCAGGGAAAATTCGTTATGCTAGACGAAGCGGCATCTGGTTGTGGTTCTATGATTAACTAAAGAAAAAATCGTACGCATCTGTTTTACAAGGCATTCTAGAAACGGAAAATTCTCGCGATCATAGTTGCTTGCCCATACACTATTTCCTTGAAGGGTCGCCTTAACTTCATTTTGAGATTATACTGTTTTTTTTTTTGTGTAACAGAGTGCGCACTTAGTATTGTCTTTATCTTTGTTACGATAACAATAAAAGGCGTTCTGTAAATTGTTCGCGCCAGGGCGATTTGAGAGTTAGATAAAACTGCTGGGACTTTAGCTATGCTGTCTGCGTGGACATCTACAATTTGTTGAAAGGGACGACTCTGGTAAAATTGACGCCCACGAAAAATACGCAATTCGTATGGGTTGAGACGGACATTTTCGCTTCCTTCTACCTCTGTTAGATCGTCAGCTTCTTGCATTATATGGAGAAGGAAGCTGGTAGTAACAAAATTGAACCAGCAGCAGCAGCTAGTGATAAAATGTCTGAAACGAATGTTAAAAATGTTCCTGACCTTTGACAAAAAGCCTAATCGGATACGCCTAATACCACTACTACAATTGTAAACCCTGACCCAACCATGGCTCGATCATTCGTTATTTTACTATCTAAATAAATGGATTTCCAAGTTTTACGTCCGGTATCATCGTCAGGCATTGCTTCAGACATCTGTTTCACCTATAGGATTACGCCTATTTATAAACTCAAAGTAAGGTTGATAGTTGTTCAATAGAGAACTATGCGATGTATGTAAGGTGAAGAATTACGTTGATTGAGATTTGTCCTATTTGTTTAGAGAGCTAGTTATCTGTTTAAAGGCCAATGAACCGATTACCCAATTAAAACCATGTTTACGCAAAGACTGTTAGGCTTCATCATTGGAAGAGGCTGTTTATAAAATGCGATCCAACAAACAGGCCAAAAACTATTCACTTTAAATCGAAAGCATAATCAGCGCATGGGACTAACTTCAGGACATAGCCATATTGAAATTAGGATCGTTGTTGCAGGCTTTTCTTTGAGTAAGCGATTATCTTGTGCTTTGTATAATGAGTACTCTTTAGTTACGGCGACAGTTTCATAGAAGCACACTTATGCTATGTTAGTTGAATCCAGCCGCCTATTCAATGGTATATTTTTTCTCTTCCGAAAGGTGTCACTCTGTGTATATCTCTCTACCGCGCAAATACAAGATAGTTGCTTGATTGGTAACAAGCGGTAAAACACGTCTAAAATTGGCCACTTATAAGCCATTTACGTGGAATAAACAAAAGTTGAAAGGTAACACAGAGACGTCATTATATGAAGGCCGATGCCAGAGAAGTCATTTGCGAAGCCATCATAGTTAAAGTACATGCAAAAGTAGTTATATATTAATACGCAAACGTGTTCATACGTTTACTCCCATTACGAAAGAACATCCAATCGGTAACCGTCGTTCGCTCAGCTGATTTCCGTAGATCCTGAGTAACGCACACGACATGTGTCGGCACACCCCTATAGTTGCAATTTACGAGCAAAGGCGACCTTAGATAGGTCCCGTCGATTTATCTAGGCCACTCACGATACTGGGTGTCTTACTTGAGACAAGGGCTATTTTTCAGTAGCAAGGACATTATTTGATAACGTGACGTTTAGGTTTTTGCGTTGTACACACGTTATACCCTATGTGTGGATGGGAACATGTCGGAAACATCTTCATAAACATTGCAACAAGGAAATTTCTGTCCGCACGAATGTTTCAACGGCGCGTAAACATAAAAAAACCAGAAGACTTGTTTAAACGAAAAAAAAAACACAGAACGCAGAGCGTCCGGAGTTCAAGTCCCGTTGAAACCATTCATGAAGGCCAATTGATAATAATAATGATCTTCGTGTTGCAAATTTGATACGCTACTCACTGCTGAAGGAACGCCGAGGTAATATTACATCCAGTGCACGTAATGCATAAAAAAAAACCGTTAATGAAAAGATCTGAGCCAATTTAAAGTACATTATGATTAGACGTTAGGATTTTTTATATATATATATATATATATATATATGTTTCGCCCACTTCTCACTTGAAAGGGTCATCTTGCGTTACGCCATCACATATAGATACTATAGTAACAATCGTCAACGTGAACAATCAACTTTAACAAAACATGCACATTGATCCTGGCCGTGTCTACTTATACATTTTCTTATTTATTTACAGACATTTTTTTTTTCAATTTTTATGCAAATTGTTTACTACGTATGTGCCGTCTACGTATCTGATGCGTATGTAAATTATTTTTTGCTACACACGAAACGTCCACGGCTGTCGCGGGAGATTTTCTGATACTACCACAGAAAAATTACGCTGCTACAATAGTAACACAATGATCATACGGCATTATATTGGCCGGTGGTAAACAGACACGCTAACATTTAAGGCACGCAAGGCTTCGAGGCAGTGTCCAATCATATTACAAAACGGAATTCAATGGTCAGATCTTTGAGCTAATATTTTGCGACGTAATATTTGGCTAAAATGTATGACTTCTCGTAAACTCGAGTGAACCATAACAGCCGTAACTATAGCGTAGAAAAACGTTCCGTCTTCGCCTGGTAATAGCAAACAGTCCGGCAATATGATTTTGTCAAGGTAAACGATCAAATTCACAAATGTAACTTTTATCGGTAACTAAACAAAACAGCTAATTCCTCAACTGATATTATACATGTCGAAAATATAGCAGGTGCTTGCTCTCTTCAATATGGCCTTTACGCTTCTGAAGTGATCAACACAACCAACAACAATTGAGTTCAGTCAAAACCCGCCATTTCATCTTCGCTGAAGTCACTTGAATGCACCTTCTTCTTAGAGGTCTTCGAATGCCGCCGTATAAGGAGCGTCTTTGTCTGATTAGAGATGAGACAGTTATTTTCTTTTTTATTGTTCCCTTTTCTGATTAGCCTTTTCGTCTATCGTCCACTTCTCTATTTGTTATAGGCCTTTGACTTGTTATCGTTGCTTATGTTTTATTGATCAACTATTGTCGCATCATTGAAATGCGACAGCGCAAAACATGGTGAGGCGACGTACGAAGTTCGCTTGCTTTGCCCTTTGGCTAGCTGCCCAAGCTGTCGGCGTGCGTTTCGTTACTGTCATTTGTGTACTACCAGCATCTACAAGTAATGCTCTGATTTGCTCTGCGAAACGTGTACGTAAAAGCGCATTTTCGTGATGGTGCAATGATAACGTGTTTGCCTTTCGAACATTTGATGCCGCTTGTAGTGCTGTAGGCATGAGGATATCGCGTAAATATGCTTCACGTCCTCGTTGCTGGAGAGGCCATCGACTGTTTAGATGATTGCTTGACATGAGCCGTACTGGACGTAAAACTCGAACAAATTACTGGTCTGCGAGGATCTAGTTCCATTGTATCAAAACATGTTTTCCCGCCCCCACACTTACTGTCGTTCTCTCTAGTAAGAAAGTGCAGAAGACCATCAGCACTTGTGCAGTCCCTTCATGTAGAAAGGTCTCATTTTTACCTAACTAGCTGTCATTTTTATCAGCGTTTCTGTCGCCTGCCAATACCTGAAGAACCGGCGTTGCCTCAGTCTAGGTTTATGGCAGCAATCAGCATCTGCCGCTCGCTTTCGACCAGCTGTTCGTTGTTTGTCTGTGGCCTCGAAACTTGGCGAAGATAGCTTCTAACGCAGCTTTGTCTCAATCGTCTTTTCTGATACCGCCCTACCAGCTCGGCAACAGTAGCAAGCTTGTTCTGTTGCGACAAAAGTGAAACGAGGATGATCCACCGGATCGCCTCCATCTTGCTACGCCTAGAAACGTTAGATTTTAGAGCGTGTTAAAACCGTACGTATTTGTCTTACTCCTGTTCGAGCAACGTACGCACTGACAACAGCGGTTTGTTGATCGCGTCTTCGCCAAAACAAAGCAACGTCGGCCACGACAAAAGCACCAGTTTCAGCAACAGTAACAGACGCCGCCCATTGAATGATTGTTATTGTTGTGCTAGTTCTAATCGTGTAGGTGGAGCCATCTAGTGGCGTGTCCCGGCATCTCGCTAGCTAATACTTGGTCGACCAGAAACCAACTTCTGACACAGCAGCAGTCAGTGATCGCCCAGGAGTGAATGCTGTGTCGAGCCTCCAATCGGAATCAAAGAGCTGGCCAGGGCCACCAAAGAACTACTGAGCAGCTGGGCTCTTAAAAATAGCTCTATTTCCCTCGCGATTTGTGGCTCGCTTGGTGAGCCCAATCCACCCGGCTGATGTTAACATTTTACAGTAGCAGCATTGCAACGTAAACCAACGACTAACGTCGGCGGTATAGTAAAGCTGTGGCGCGTCGCGCTACTCTTGTGCGCTGAATCCTCTCTCTAACGCGAATGCGGCCGTTACGGGTGACGCCGACGGCGTTGACGACGCTTACGCATTCTTATTGCATCACATCGGTCGACGATTGTGCGTGCTGTTGTGCTTGTTTGAGGCATACGCACATACAATCTGGGTCTGTAAGGGTGTCGTTGGTATATTAGTTGTAACTTACTTTGTCTAGTTGTCCGGCTGGTTGTGTCACAAAGCCTAGCTAAACATCAGCGTGTACTTGACATATTTATCCGCGTGTTCAGTAAGTGGCCTGCGGTGTACATGGCGTTCAGTTTTCTACATGTCTGCACCTCCTGATTAACCTGTCTGCACTCGCTACATTCATAACCTGTACGGCACGACAAGGTGAGTGTCATTAGCCAATCTGTGTGTGTTTCGACGATCCCGAGGACGCCGACTACTGATGATAACAACAGAAACGAAAAAAAGAAACGGCGGCGCGACCGTCGTGAGTGATGACCGCCGAGACCGAATCTGAATCATCCGCGCCGGCGGCAACGGCTTCGCTCGCCGTTAATTCTTTGCACCTCGAGGCAGGGCCCGATGACAACGCGGTAGTTAGCGAATCGTATCATCGGCGCACGCCATTAAATAGGCAGCGCACTCCGGATTCAGTGGTAACGCAAGCACACGACACAACTTCCGAAGAGTCTGAATCGGAGGATTCTTCGGAAGTATCGGATTCTAATCCGGAAATAGTTTCTGACGAGTGGGAACAGTTTGAGAAGAGCGAGCCTCAAATAACGGTAACTGCCCAGGGAGGTCTTCATGGGATACGGGAACAAGAAATAACTCCGATGGCGGATCCAGCAGGTCAAAACGGTACAGCAAAAACGATTAGCTGGTAAGTGACACGGCTCAGAGGCCCGTAAGAATTGACTGTAGATAGGAAATAACGCAACTCGAACAATACTGTAAAAAAAAAAGCAGTGAAAAATCAAACTAATCTGGTCGAGTAAACCCATCCTTGTTCATTATGATATGTGGTGTTCAAACGAGCGGATGTACACAATGCGAATATCGCGCATTGTAACATGTAGCCTGTTGTTTTCCCTATGCTTGGTTCTTTCTGTGCGATTTGAGGATTCGCGTTTGCTGTCCAAAGTGGAGGATCTGCGGTTTTGCTTAACAATAAAGAGGAACCCAATTGGCGACCACATCGGGTCACACGACTGTATCAGAGAATAGAACAGACATATCTGAGTAGGGATTTTCAAAGAACCCACGTTTATGACGCGTTTTTGCCGACAAAAGGAATTCCAATATCCGGTTGCATTTGCGGATAAGCTAACCTCGTGTAGTGACATTTTAGCTGATCTCCCGTGGCCGATGTCCGACCATTACTGGTTTCCGTTTAGATTTAGGATTGATTAAAGATGATATTCGTGTATGCTTTGACAAAAATAGGCCTCTATGTACAAAACAGAAATGGAATCAAGTTCAAAAGGGATAGAGTCGCACCAAGCGTTAAAATAATACATGCTGAAAAGTGTTTCACGCCAGCCTCGTCCTACCAGTTCAACATCGGGTTATCTAGCCTACGGTTAAGCTCAACTGATGACCTAAACCTAGGGTTTATATATATAGAATATTGCATATAGTAAGTGTCTAAGAAGTCCACATTCAATTCGACATGTTATCGAACGGGTTCGATTGGTAATTTCTAAACCGTTCCAAGCTGATAACATCGGTAGTATCCTGATTCGATAAAAGAACTTTAGAGAGCCAGCACAAATAAAGCCGTACCGATTTCCGCTTTTTTTTTTAAGTATACGTTTTTTTTTTTTTTTTTTACTAGGGTAACTCACCGATATGGGTTGTATTGTTGTCAATGAAAGCTTTCGAGGATTCAACTTATTCACTAACTCATCATGTAACACTGGGTTGCGCGGTATGATCGTTTACTCGTAGTGCGGATCGAAGGCACGTTTTTTTGTTGTTGGCAATCCTAACAGTTCTTTCTTAACTAGAAAACAAATATTCTGCGATTATAATTTTTATAATGCCAATAGAGCATAAAACTTTATCGTTTTGTCGTATCGGATTATGTCGCATTTTAGACAAACAAACAAAGACTGGTCCTTTACATCTGAGACGTGTACGTTATGAGAATGTTAACAGTCCCTCACATCAATCATTTACATGCATCATCATGGTAAGATAGCGGGATGTCTGGGAACCCGGACAGCGACGCTCGAGGGCAATAATTCTGTGAGACTTCCTTCGTGTAGCTTTTCTGCTAGTAACAAGGAAATCTGAAGAGTAAAAATTCTGACAGAGAAATAATACTTATATATGTATTATATAAAATAGATAGTTTTTAAATAAGGGTAATTAGAATTGAAATAGGAAACTTCGATAATCCCAACAAACGAATGTGACGGATTCTTAATACGAAACATCTAGTCCTAGCAGAGCTAAAAATAAGTTCATTACTACTGCTTTGCTTTAACTTAGACTTTGAATCATATTAAACTATTTTTATTAAATCATACAAAAGCGTACCGCTGTTCCCAAAATCTATATAGATCTTTGGTATAGGGAACTCACGCTCTCTCTTAAATCTACACTTCTGCTAAAGCTGGACAGTATATATGTATATTTGCAAATTTCTCTCTTTTTAAATTTCGTACACACAGTTCTACATGTTGGCCAGAGCTGAGGGCCAGATGTGGAGGCTTTCTTTCCGAAAGATGTTAAGGCCTGGCTTTATGCAGGCCAAACTATTGTCATAGTAATTGTCCATTACTCTAGGGCGCTTCTCCATTAAACCTTGATTTAAAATTGATTCTAATATTGTTTCCAACCAAGACTTGCACAGGCGGCTAACAGACTAATAAATTCATAAGTCGCGTCTGGCTCATTTTCTTGTTGTACCTTGCGCTATTCTCTATAGAGAGTACCGTGCGGGATCTTATCCTCCCTCTTGCAACTACCCGAGTGTATATCAGAGTTCTTTTGTATCTTTTCAACTTTATTTCTCTTCGATTGTTAGGACTTTTGGCCCAATATGGCCAAAACGTACGTCCTCTCGATGGTCTCCCATATAGCGGACCTGGACAAGACCTCAGTAAGTCTGTAAACGGCCCGGAGCGGTTTTAGACTCGCAATCCATCCGAATGGCAGTTACACTGAACATATTGATGTTCTGGCGTGGCCATGTAAAAAATGTCATCGAAATACTTGTTTCTATTTAGATATAGCGATACCCGACTTATTAGAATTTGCCGCAAGACAGATTACCAAAAAACAAATATAAAAACCGAACAAATAAAAAAAAAATAAGGAAAGTAGCAATTTAGGAAGGTTAATAGCTGCTTTCTGTGCCGTTTCGTAAAACTATTGGGGAGATCCCAGATAAACCCAGAAAAATTCACCCCGGTTACACTATAAGAGGGCGAGTCCTTCATACTATACATAGAAGATGTGATTGCAAGGGTTTTATATATATATATATATATATACTGGTGTAAATGCATCATAGCCAAACTTGAATGCATTTAGTGATTGATCAGCCGATGCAATGCTTAATATTCTCGAAAGGATCCAAGAATAGTACTTTTTATCTTAGATTGATTTGCAGCGTTCAACGACAAAGCAAAATGGCCATATCGATATACGCATCGTCTAGAGAGATGTTTGTTCGATTTGTTATTAGAGCTATCTGTGAATGGAGCACATATTAAAAGCTAGATTGGCTTAAATACGTCTACTACAGAAACAGACAGAGAATTTTAATTGTTTCATATAGCAGTGATCACGACAGTCGTTCATCAACTCTATACATTGACCGTCCGATATTCTTGTCGAACCTGGTATGACCGTCATACGAATTTCCTTTTGGCAATGAAAGCAATGACGTCATAAAGCCAAGCACTTTATAAAAAAAAAAAAAAACATTTTTACAAAATGACTTTATAAGATCATTTTGCCAAAGGTTTGTTAGAAAGCACACGTAAACTCAGCAGAAACACCTATCGTTACAGAATCCCTCCGAGCAAGAATAATAACGAAAACACATTAATATTATGATAATCGGAGAACAATTTGATGCGTAGACAAATATTTACCATCAGTCCAGTGTTCTTCTAACTTGAGTGACGGATTTATTTATAAAGTATGATTCGAAGAAGCCTTGCCAAAATCTGCTAGCTATATATATATATATGGTCAGTCAGTAAGCAGTACTATTACAGATATTGCATGTCACAAAGTCCAGCTAGATAAGCCGTTTCGATAGCATCTTTATGGACGCGTCTGTCTTGCTATGGGCATTGACTGTGTTGAAATCGGTATAGTTAGCCTAGCACGTCCTACAAAAAAACTTGGTCAACTAGGTCAATGCTCATTGAGTGTTCTATCGACTTGACTCGCAATGAAAATTACGTCGAACTTACCGCAACTTTTCCGTTGCTTAATGAAAAGCAACTAGCTCCGTGCTGGTAAAGGTCCATTTGGTCGGTTTTTTGTTGTGTTTTTTTTTTATTGCAACCTGTATGACATTAGCCTGAAAAGCATTGCATGGCTTGGTTTATCTAGACTATAGATTATTTCCTATAATCTTTGTTGTATTCAGAAGTCGTGATTACTAGCCCTCTCTATTCAGCCGACGTGACTCCACGAAAAAGCGCCATGCTCTGCTATACTAACCTTGATGAAACCATTCGCGAACGAGTTGGCGTTGTTGATGCCACCAGCATTTTACCCGCAATGCCACCCATTTAGCCCCACAGCTTTAGCGACAGCGTTTTTAGCCGATATGTGTGTCGGTCAGCGAACTGCCAAAATGCCCCGGCTCGAAACGTATTTTGCTTAGCACACTTCGTCTCAAAGCCAAAACTTCGAAAATTGAATGCGGTCGCGCCTTATCTACACCAATCAGCTGAGCGGTAACGCCTTGATGTTTTACCAGGTAAATCCTGCTAGGGCAAGTAGCAGTTACCGGTGACAATGACCTAGCAATTGTATACTCGCGTGGCACCGGCGAAAATTTAATTTCTATCGCTTTTAAAGCTGTTATCGTCATAGCATGACATTCATACAAATGAACGCTCGAACCTCCAGCGAAAAAAAGAAGCCTTGTCACATTGTGTGCGCACAAAGCTGATCAGTTCAGACAACGAATTATCATGACAAGTGGAAACCGATTTGCGGCCTAAGGGACTACTAAGGCTTTCGTCGTTGAATTAAAGGACCGCGATCTTGCTGACGGGTCCTGGCGACGTTGACGCTGCAGTGTCTATGGAGATGCTGCTTGTCTTGTAATCGTTCAGAACAGCATCAGCAAAGCGAGCGTAATTTGTGCTTTTGTTATTACTACATGATCAAGTGAAACACCTGAATTCTTTGGCGCTCACAGCTGTTGCGGTAGATAGTACGTGTAGCGTAATTGATTCCTTATAATGGCTTGAATAATAGTTAGATAATATGAAGATTTTAAGCTGGGAATGCAGTTGTCGAGTGCCCGCGGCTGTAGTTTGTATGTGATCATTGAACGCTGAACAAATATGGAACGATATCTAAATTAGCTATATTATATTGCAATAATGTTAACTATAATTAATGATACACTGATACTATCGTTATGTTTTTCCCTTCGTCGTAAACAGAACGTCAGCGCCCGAGGGGCCGTTATCATAACGGCTTGATTGATCGTTTAGCTTCACTGATTAGTAATGATGAACGCAATATGGTTAGCACAGACAAATGTATGACAGGCCAAAGCGGTTTTGCGGCGACCTAACAAAGGCTGCTTTTGCCACGACGAAATTTTGAACGCTAACGGAAAGTTACGATTCAGTGCGACGAACGTCAAGTGACGTATCTGCAGCATCCATTACGCACGCGTCCGGTCAGCGGCCATCATGTGAATCCCATACATATATATATTGCATCCGTCTGTTTGTTACGGCGGCATGGCCATATGGCAGGGGTTTACCAAATGAGGCTAGACCATCGCCCGAAGGGACGAACGTTTACTTTTACCTGAACGCGTTAAAACTATTACAAGCAAAGTTCATCTGTAACGTAGCACCAGAAATTGTTGTTACGCTTTCTAGATGGGCTGAAATGTGTCTCGGCGCAGACGTTTTCGATTGGCGTACGTTTGCTTCGGTTGGCACATAGTAACCAAGAAATTAGGCTTTATTTACGTCCGCAAAAAGTGTTGACCTAACTTTATTGTTGTTATGTAATAAGATATCAAACAAGGACACCCGTACGAACAGAAATCGTGGTCATAGCCAGGAGTAACTAAATAACTGTAATACATGAAATTGTATTGATGATCAACGAACCCAACGGTACTGATTTAGAACAATCCATTTCCTTTGAGTGCGCCTACAACGAGCTCGTTAACCGATATAAATATCTACTACGTATCGTCACTTTTGCCTTAAGCAAGATTTTTAGATAGCGGCACAACGGAAAGGTTACATACACGAGGCAAAAAAATCAGCGGCCGTACGTAAACGCCTGCAGCAGTTGAGCTATCTATTCTGAACGAAAACGATTAAATCTCAAGTGGATATAATATGGCGATACAAAGTATCTATATGAATCACCTGCGCTACCTTAGTAAGCCTAGGTAGAAAATCTAGATGTCGCCAGTACCTTCGACAATGAAAATGAAATTGCATTAGAAAAAATTGAAACTTGTTTTTATGTCATTTCCAAAAAAATGACGTCTGGATAGCCGTTTCAGCATCTATTCTCTAACTAGCATTAAGGACGAACACGAAAACCTGTTCAACAAATTAGCAGAAGCCTTACTTTTTGACATGACTACCCACGTAAGTAAGCAATTATTGGAAATACACCCAAGTGACTGCTAACTGTTACACGGAACTTGGTAGAATAACTTAGAGAAAAGCGAGCCTATTTCGAATTCTTGTTGCTAAATGCCTCCGAACATTTTAACGAGGCCACTATCACTGTAAGTTAACCTGCATAAAAACTGCTGTCAAGTTTATGTAAATTTATATTATAAAGATATCGAACCACACTTTTAATTAACTCCTCTACTGCCTATCACATATATAGCCGTGCTACAGAGTGCGCTTTAAATAAAAAAATCTTTGTATTATGCACTTCCAGGGCGCTTTCGGTAACTTACGTTGCATTTTTTGTCTACGTACAACTTATACTCCAAGCGGGGTTTACCACGATATCGTTCCTAGTTGCACCCTTGGCTTACCTTCAAGGAGGCAGCAAATCCTGGTGGGACTTCGTTGATACTCTCTATGATTTACACGAACGTGTCATTATCTTACTGGGTATCGCCTTAAAAGGAACTAAGGTATGTAAAAGTAGGCTTTTAAAAATTTTTCCTGAATAATAAAATGATTGGACGTTCAATGCAGTTTCGGGATTCGAGGCGCAATCGATACGCTTCTAGAGAAGGCCGCTTTTTCAATGTACGTATCACGTCATGCCTTAATGACCGGTCAAATATTAATCTTTTCCTCAAGCTATCTGCGTCCATAGAAATGTACGTATCATTAGGAACATATTGAGCAGAGTGCTTTGTCAAATAGCGAGGATAGTATCAGGATTTCGGCTATCTGTCCCGTTTACGATAAGAGAGCAGACGCAATTTCATAGATTATAGAATTACATATGCCTATGTTGAATTGCTTTTCAGCTTTACTTCTATGGTGACTTCAATGAAGTGCAAGCGAAGCAAGAAAGTTGCATTGTCATATGCAATCACCAGGTCGAAGGTGAATGCCAGCAATAATTGAAAAAATAGTAAACCAACTAACTTCATTTGGAACAGTTTATTAAAAGCTAAGGTTGCAATAAACTGTTAGAGCCATGGATTGTCAGTGTAGCTACATAGCATAATATTTTGTACCTTACTGAAATCAATTAAAGTGTGCTAAAAGACAACTCAGCGTTACGCAACAGCTAAAAACGTACGTTAACAGTTCACAAAAAATAAGACCACCAATTTAGAAGCTATGTTCGACCTTACCCGGCGCACTCAGGTCAAAAGCAAAGACTAACCCACTCTTACTCAGATAAATTTGCATCACAATATTTCATGGGGTAACCGATGAGCGTATTGAACTGCGCGCATCCGGCAGGTGACTACTTCGTGATGGCTGCCGCGATGGAAAAAACAGGCAAACTGGCCCGGTTACGGCACGTCATGAAGGATTCCCTCATTTGGATCCCATATGTAGGAAGCTTTTTGATTAGGAGAGGTTCGTTTTTTATCAATCGTAATAACCTCGACTGGTCGAGTTTCGATGAAAATTGTCGCCGTCTTCGCGAAGACAAAGTACCGGTAAGTATTATAGGCAGCCAATGAATGGTCCTGTTGGTCTTTATGTTATTAGCTTTGTCCTAGTTTATGCAATGGTTCAGGAAGAAATTGTTTCATCTTAAGCAAGCCATAACTTCTTCTTGCTGTTACCGATGATAACTTATTTCCTAATCGAATATATGTGAAGATGCAAATATAGATTTGCTAATTTGCGCGCTGTTCAGTTGGACTTGATGTGTGCAACTTCACCTACTCTCTTTTCAGACCTGTATTCTTATTTACCCAGAAGGTACGACCATGAATAACGCCATAGAGACACCGAACATTATTGAGAAATCTCGCCAGGTAGCTATTGAAAACAAACAGAAGCCATTTGAATACGTTCTTTTTCCGAGATCACGTGGATTTCATCGTTTACTCGATAAGTTTCGAGGTCAAATAGATGCGATCTATGATCTAACACTAATTTACTCATCAACTCGTGACAGAAATGGCCATCGACGACCTGCTCCATGCGTTACCGGTTAGTGTAGACCCGTCTATCAAAACGTTCGTAATCGCTCTCGAATTATACTGCGTCCCATGTATAGAACAGGAAACACAGAAACAGAAGCCGTAGCTGCCTATATCAGAGTTAAGGACGAATAATTTGACGCGGCTTAAGCAGCAGTACTTGAATTTCGCATGCTTAATAGTGCTTTCCTGAGGTCTCAATCAAGGTAGCGGCGTCACCTAAATTTCCTATCTAATATGTCCTTTGTTACGATCGTAGAGTTGGCAAATGGATACTGCCCTGAAATACACATTAATCTACATCGGATCGATATCAAGGACGTTCCTGAAAATGAGGAGGATGTAAAACAGTTTCTTTTCAACCAGTTTGTTGTCAAAGACAGGTTGGTATCGTGATTCCTACCAGCAAAACCCGTACAATTTCCCAATAAATATGTGCACAATTCTTACCACTCCTGCGAAATCTCCCCTGATATTATTCCGTATTCTTCCAAACACCTCTAGTATTGCTTTTATGATTTTGACAAAGGAGATCTGCCTGGCGAGGCGTCCTTCGCTAAGCCAAAGCGCATGCTGCAGAACATCAGGGTGTCAAAAAGAAAAGGCCAAAATAACTCTCGTAAGTGCTGTGACTAATCGTTGATTTTTCTCTATTATCTGATAAATCTATATGTCCAATAGAGGCTTCGTTCTTACCTTACAGGCTTCTGAAAACGTTTTACTCGACTGGTTCGCTTCCGAAAAAAGGCGTCCAGCTGCCGTCCCAGAGTCAACGACACCTAATACAAACGTCCCTTGTTGTTCTTATCGGAATTTGGCTTGGTTTCACGTCGACCGGTCTCGCTCTGCTACCGTATCATCTACTTGTGCCAGGAACCATCGGATTTCTCCACGTGGCTTATCATGTCTACTTTGCACGTTGAGCAAAGCGTCGTAGGCTCGTGCACGCACGTAGAATAGTCCGCGATATTAGGACTAATTGGTCGTAAGGGAGAATTGCGCTCTTCTGTATTTTAGTGGTTTCTGAGCTTGTGGACGCGTTCGCGTTGCGAACAACCGCCAAGAAACAACTAATGAGTGCAGCCCCGTATAGTCGCGGGTATTTGGCGTAAAAAAGGAGTTATCCAAGTAGGAAACCTATGCTTCGATAGGGCTAAATCAGCTACAGTGGGTTATTGTTGCAGTCGTAGTGGTCGCGAGACACACAATATTTAGGTTACTTATGGTTACTAACTGCTATTGGGTTCGAACGGAAGTGTGTTTCGACAGTATCTTGATTGCATTGTACTTACGATCTATAGCTTTAAGTAGTTCGACGTTATAATGAAATTGTTGCACGTACTGCTTAGCTCGTCTTTAAATGCTAAAGTCGAGCGGGGCAATAGCACGATATTTGTGGAATCGCTCGAATGTTAGGGGTGTTCTGCCCTTCGCTGGGCAAGCATGTTCTTGTTTGGCAATATATACAACTTTGTTAAGCACTTTCTATTATCGGTGTGTATAAAGCGTACGTGTACGTATGCAACATACCCGAATCACCTATTTGCAAGAAGTAGACCTATAGAATAATGTATCAATGTGACGCCGCTCGATGACGACATTTTGTTTGAATAGATATTGTTAATGATTTGTACGTCCGCTACCGCCGCAAGGCACTACTACTTCAACCAGCAGATACCTTTTTTTATCATGTAAATTTTAGTCTCAATAAAATTGAGCCAAGCTTTCGTTTTCTGAATTTTCTCGGAACTCGTGATTAGCTCGTTAACAGCACCTGTCAATAACGCCATATGGCTACGTCCAAATCCGTTGTTCAAACACGGCACATACAAGTAATTTCACTCTAGACTGCTAAAAGCTCTCCTATTCAGTAAAGGTCTTAATGGCCAGGAAGTCAGTTTTGGATTTCATAGGCGTTTTCCCATCGACTTTTGCTCTCGCTTAAACACATTTGATCATCTATATTAGTCATATATTCAATATCACGTTACTGATTTATTTTTTGCAAAATCACTGTTACTGTTTACGTTTTGAGGCTTTTTTTTTAACTCTGAGGCCAAATTATGAGACTTTTTTTCCTTTCAACCCGAGGTTCGTGGTCCAAACCATTGCATGGTCGAGAACATGTGTTTTTTTTTAGTAATTTTTACATGAATGAGTACTTGATATTTTTAACATAAGTACTTTTTAGGTCCACGACTGGACTGGCACTTGTTGAACTTCAATCTGGAGTTACTTCAATATGGCAACCACACAAGAAGCCGTAATTTGCCTTCACATATTTTATATTTCTGACCAGGCGTAAGAAATACAGTTCAAGCTAGTGTAAAATATCTTTGGAGAAATGTTTCTCCTTCGTCCGACAGAGTTGGCCCGTTAATGGACAAGATTTTCTAGTTGATGAAACGTTAAATGGTTTGTGCTAGAAATTTAGAAAATTAATAATTTACTCTGTTAAGAAATGTTCAAGTCAGGGCCGCATCAGATTGCATGTATCCAACCAGATTAGGGCTGGAGGTTCCACGTCTCCGACCCTACCACCTAACATGTCCTGAAACGCATGCCTCTTAGGACAGACACTTTGCCAAATTGGTCCTAATTAACCCGAAACACATCGAGGAAAAAACATGTGTGTTTTTTTTTTTATCCAAACTAACAGGCATCGTAACGATCGTAATCGCGCAACAATATAAAGCTGGTAAGGTAAGTAGTTAATTTGTTAATAAAGATCTGATACGACAAAAAAAAGGTAGATCATGTTAGCCGCCGTTCTTAATGTATATCCGAAAAAAAAAAAAATCCGAAAGAACCAGAGCGACAGGCTTTGGTTTGCGAATGATTAGTTAGCAAAACTTCATTTACTCTAGTCAAAGCTGCTTTGCGTAGCCAATTGGAAATAGCGGGTCCAGCACTTGCAACATGACTGTTTCGCCTTTCTCCATCCTTCTACACAATGAAATGAAAACCTTGTACCTGACTTCACGCTAATTTTTATCTATTAAAAACAACCGCAATAGGAGATCTGGTTGACTCTATACAAAGACTGTTACGAAGCAAGATGTTGAATGTTAATGCTATTACATTTTTTTAATTACATTAATTAACAGAAATATGTAACTTGATGATAAATTCAGTTCATGATAGAATCTTAAATCCAACCATATAGTTTTTATATGCTTTTACTGACGCATATAGAGCTATATGGTCAAATAAAATTACATCGAAATTTTTATATCTAGGTTGTTATACACAAAAGGCAACCTGAATTTAAAAGCTACCTGTATTCAATAATCCATCTATATGTAGAGGTATCCGATGTATGGACTTGACCCAAGCTTTTGCACCAGAATTAGGCCGGCAGAAAATGCGACATGCTAAATTAAGTGGATTAATCTTTTTCATAAGAACATTTGTTGTTTATGTGTATGACGATTTTTTTTACGGTTGGCGTGTGGCATATTTCTTCACCACCTTAAACTAGTAGTTCAGAACACGTTAGCCTGCATCAGTTGAGTCTGTCTTATTGGTGGTGTGCTGCAGAAGGACTTCGGTTCAACAAAGCCAAGCCATATAGGCCATACAATATGCCGTGTGGGTATAAGTCAGAGATCCTAATTTTATATTGAAATCGATTTGCGTTTAAACTTAATTAAACAAGTAATTCAACTGTGGGCCATTATCGACCACTTCATGGGACCGAAGTAGGCGCGTGATCTGTGCACGTTGAGTAGAAGACGTCACCGGGCCGTCACCTGTTGGTGGTCCCTAATAGAAAAAATGACGTCAAAACGAGGCAATGATGTCACCTGCCACTGCGCATGTAAATTTCCATAAGACACCTGTACCATTGCTCAATTATGTATCTTAACTGGCCTGGATTCTCCATTGTGAGACATTTTCGAAAGTCAGATCTACATAACTAATCCTCCTGCCATCAGAAGCTAAGAGAGCGTCCGGTTTGAAACGTTTTTTCCTCAGACTCGTTTTACCGTCCCCCATATTTGTTCGATTATCTCTAGGACAGTCTAAGTGTCGGCTTCCTATATAGCTATTCTCTGAGATAACGCAGCGATGATGTGTCCACTCAACTTTATATCAGACTATATTGAAAGTAACCGCTAGCGAATTGTTTCTCTCTCTTGTGAAAGTAATGGCATAAACTTTGCAAATACCATGGACTACGTTTCTTGTGTCAATATGAATTTATAATCTAGGGCTATTTTTTTACAGTCATGAACCCCAAGCCCGGACTCACTGACAACTTACCCTACTAAGCTTACTCCAACAGCTACGATACACCCACATCAGCTTTTACCGTACCGGTTGAAAAACGGAGTCATACGTCGTTATATTATCACATTGCTCCATACAATTCTACGTCTGTTTATGTGTCGTAGTAGAGCTTTCGTAGAGCTAACAAGCCTCACCATTCAATGAATTCCAGCTAAATCCAGGTCGACGCGGACCAAAACATTTCGGTTCACCCTACCTTAATGCTAACCAGACACACGAAACGTTACGAACCCTAGGTATCCCTAGCGAGCTTCATTTTCTCGTTGCGCTGAAGTACAACCAGATTGGCGTCGTAAATCGCAAGTTTAATCAATGAAAAATTTTACACTGGATTTTAACGATGGATTGCGGCCTGGATGACCCCCCGATCGATGATGGCGTGCGCCTACGTCAAACCACACTAAACATTCGTACTATAACACGAAGAGTTTTTCGTTACTTCGAAACCATTCGAATCGTATCTCGTATCTACACGCAACGAAGAATAACTATTGATAGTATCCCAGCCGCTGACGACTACAATTTATACCATGGTCGAGCTGTGCCTTTCAGCAAAAAGTATATTTCCTACAATATTTCAACGTGTCTGATTTTGCATCAGTAGCGACGAACCCAGCGGCTCGCAGCTAGCGGAAGTATATCGAGACGCAAAGGTCACACATAGTAAGTTTGCCCCCAAAAATCGAGAACACCTGAAAAATCTGCTGGAGTTAGTTCAGCCATTGCCGCCCTCTTCCTGATTACACGTCGGGCAAGTTTTATCAGTGATAGAAGCATTGGCAGATGCGTTGACAACACGAGCCTTTGACAATGAATGGCCATCATCAACAACTAACTCTATTTGAACACTTGCCATGAGCAGGGACGTAAGTAGAACAACACACCTTTCATAACGAATTTCAGTTACCAGGCAAGCCAACTTTTATGTGAACTATTAGCTGGTGATCGATGACATGGACCTACGCTACAGAATCAAGAAGATATCTATAAGGTGAGTAGGCTGTTGGGCCGTGAAGCTATTCAGCCCAGTTTCTATTCAGTGCTTACTTTGTTAATTAACTAATTTGTTAACTGTATAACACAAACAAAAAGCATCGTGTGATTTTTGCCTTTCTTGCTAATAGACAATGCGTAAATGTCTCTTATGGACACCGGGCCTTTCCGATTTGTCACTGTAGCCTCCGAAAACGTTTCCACTGTAGCACTTGACCTAATGCCGCAACGTGCCGGACTGCGTCAGCTAAGGAGTCGGGTCTCCAAAACTGAGATTTAATCGTAGAAACGGCACTTCCTGCGCATTTTACATTTTTTTTTCTAGCGAACGTTGGTTTTTGATTAGTAGTGTATGCCGAAAAATATTAAAACAGGAAACAAATACAGCGTAGGATCCTTATTGCAAACGTCAAACTGTGACAGGTTCATTGGCCTTCGAGATCTTACTCATACACATCGTAAAAAATCGAATTTTGATCGATATTATACCTTCTCTTTTCGTTCAAGAGGACTAGACATTATCAAAATATGCATTTGTAAACAAGAGAGAAGAAAAACTATCGTACGCAAGGTAACCTTCAGAACTATTTTACACTGCTCAATTTTTTGAAAGAAATTAATAACGTTGTTTATTGTTCGGTCGAGTTTCAATATGACTGAATGAAATTTAAGTCAATATTAGCAGGTTCCGTTATGCAAAAAGCTGTACGCTGTTAGAAGGGAGGACCCTGCTTTCACTCAGTACAAAGCCTACTACCAAATTTTTGTCACACCGCGACATACGTCCGTCGGGGATACATACAAATCAACACTGCAACCATTAACCAATTATTTGTTGAATCGATTGTTAGATTAAGTATTTCAAGTTTTACGTATAGCATTTATGGCGCTAGGCATTGCTTCGGACGGCTTACCCCTTCCAGCCTGGAACGGAAAGTGCCCGGATTTGGACCTAGGCCACAGCGTATCCCGAAGTTTAAACGTGTAAAATCTCCGCTACTTTTACCAAAGGAAGACTACCAACAGCATCAAATTTTTGTGTTACTAGGACAAACGTCAACGGCGTGATGAATCACTGCTATTTAAGATCAAAAAAAATCCTATCTTCCACTGTTATTACTATTACTCAGCGTGGATTTTTGCAAGTTACTTGCTTGTTTTTTTTTGATATGTTTTATAGTTATTGAGTCTGGTATCAAATTTACAATTCTATGTAACCAGCAAAGTTAGTAAAACTATGTTTTGTAATAATGAGAATGTAACAAATAATGTATTTATATGCGCCTCACATGTCGGAGATTAGTTAAAAGGTGATCTTGGGTCTGAGGCCAAAATAGTCGTCGGCAGGAATAAGAAAATCTAGCCTATAGATGGTTTAACGTTGATTTTAGGTAGGTCTCATATAATTAGTACGGAATTGTAGCTGAGGGGAAAGGCGGTAGAAAAATCAGAATTATCGGCTCGGTAGTGCCGCACCTGTCGTGTAACATATTCGCGCAGCAGACGTCGATAAACAAGTGCTGAATTTGGCAAGTAACAGGCGAAACTTCCATCAGCATGTATTAGTAGCCCTGTCCAGCGTCCGCTGAAGTGGGTTTCCTTCAGTAACACCGCTATTGCTACATTAGCTCAGTGAATTTAGACGGCACGCATCATGAGGGCCACCAGAGCCAGCCATGAAGTAGAACATATCCAAAACGACTCTTATTCTGTGTAAATAAATTCACGGTCCGTCGATATTTCTTCAGAAGATGACGAATAATAATTCTTATGGGCCTCAGCCCAGCTCGAACTAAACGCTGAAGAACCGTTTCAAGCAGACATTTGGCCATTTGTAGCGAATGCGAAACCGTAGGGAAGACTGGTAGAAACGAAAGAGAGGGAAAACCGTCAGGGCACAGAAAGGCCAGAAGTGAACAAGTAACATGGACATACATCAAGTGGCGCATAGGTGATGGCTATTTATTCTTTAATTTACTACAACCACTGCCCATAATTCAATGGTATTGCGAGCATAAAATTGAGGTTAAATCTGACAAGAAGTGGAAACGACATTCTACAGACAGTTGTGAAGCAAGTGGCACTTACGGCTCAGTAGTGACGCGGACGTCGAAATAAGGCGTACGTCAAAAAAAAAGTGCCGAGGTCGACGCGGCTACGAAATGGAACAGGAAATCAGCATTAGAAGGAGGACAGAGACAAAAGGCAAACGCCTATTCAAAAGGACTATAAAGGACACTCATAAAATGGTTGATAATAGACGAGGTCAGGTGCATATATTGGTGACTATTTTGGACCCCAGGCATAACTCTCTGAAAGCATCAATACGTTTTGCTAAAGACAGGGGCTGACCGTGCGACAGTTGCAGAGCCGTACCGCAACAGAACAATGGAGCTGCCCTGTTACAGCTGAGGCGGAAGAGATGTTTTAGCCGGAAGTCGGATACTTCTTAACACATAAGTATCCAGTAGTGTCCAGTGTTAATAAACGCTATTCATTCACACATTTTACTATGTGCTAGATGTCGTTTGAAACTGCTACTAAACTACGTAAGTCAAAGTATGCATTCTCTATGGCTAGCCGTAGGTGTTCTCCTACCCATATTATTCCACTAAATGATACTAATATCAGCTCCACATGTGGACAAACATCGTTCTAGAGTACTATCTACGATATGGCTGTTAACCCAGTACTACGTGGGGCTGTACATTCACGCGACGATGGCTTGGTTTTATTGTATAAAGGGCCCGTTCCTCAAAATGTTTGGCATATCATGGTGGACCTTCATGGACTACTACTACGAACTCTACGAACGGATCATGATACTACAGGGTATAGAGTTATTGCGAATCAAGGTATGCATATAGCATACAAATGAATTACTCCATTGTATTTTTGATCATACTGTTATGTATCTTTCGTCCAGTCTAGGCTAACTGTACCGTATTTCGTGCAGTTCATTTTAAATAAAGCGCTATTACTGTGTTGTGATTATACTTTGAGCTAAATAAATTGTTATTTAGAAAAAAAACACGTACGTAAAAAAAAAAAAATAGAATGATTCAAAAGGCGTACACTACCTCTCCAATACTGGTTCTTTGTCGTTTTGACGTCAGTTGCTATCGTCTCGAAGAAGTAGCACTTTCTCTTCTATAACTCTATTGCTAGAGGGTTTTCCAATTCAAATACGATCAAAGGTAATGATCCGGCGAGCAGGACGAAATATTTCATGTCCTGGAAATGTAACACGGTTCAATATTTGCCATAAAAATCCAACGAGTTGAACTACTAAAATAAGTAGACATTGGATATTGTTCAGTGATGCTACTGCTGTGCAGCTTCGTGAACAGCGTAATTTTCCAGCTTCTGAGACTTCAGCCTAAAACGACATAGAAATTAGCCAATGGGAAACATTAAAAAAAAAACCCATTCATGACCCAACGATTCGAGAATATGACGGAAATTCTCCATATGAATGTCAATTTTGTTATTTTTCCAGCTCACCTTTCACGGCGATTTTCCTTATGTTCGTGGAAGGAGGGAGAATTGTCTTATAATATGCAATCATCAGTCTGAATGTAAGTCGTCTAAATGGGTTATTAAATATGACGTAGGCCATAGAGTTTGGGTGAGCATCACTACGAATAGGCCCTCAAACATAGTAATTAGCCAATACGAATCTTCGAATTTTACACCTAAACGTATTTTTGAGAGAGAGAGAGAGAGAGAGAGAGAGAGAGAGAGAGAGAGGCACATCGGTCTTTTCCGTAACGTCTTCTATAGTGCGAACGAGTCACATGACTCAGATTAAGCGGCCTATTCTCACGTTGAGAGATCGACTTCAAGTTTCTAAAGCTGGACCCGATGTAAATTTTCATTTTTGTCATCATACGTCACGCTGTCCCCAGAATGAATACTCCAATGGCCTCTGATCTAACCAAGCGATTGCGCAGTGAGTTAGTTCTCGTCGTTATTGAATACGCACATTGATACGGCAGTCCTAGAGAGCAAACAGTAACTAAGGTTCGACATTTCAATCTTATCGCGATCGCGAACTACTTAACAGAGCTTCAACAAACACTCCGTAAGACCTAGTTTGTTCTTCCATATCGAAGTGAAATTTCGAGCCAGAGCATCGTTTTGTTAAAAACGCTTCGTTCAGACTTCACATGTTACCGGACGCGCGTAACGCCAAACTCATACGAGTGCACCTTCTAGCGCCAATATTAAGAGCTTTTGGTGTTTGCATTTCAACAGTTGACGCCTATATTATGGCAGCTGCTCTAGAGAAGACTGGCAATCTCGCCGAACAACGCCATGTACTAAAGAACTCCGTTAAATGGCTACCGTTCATTGGCTATTTTTTGCTAGATCGGGGCTCAATTTTTGTCGATCGGACAAGAGTCGACTGGGACGCCTTTGACACTGTATGCAGGCGACTTCGACGGAACAACGTACCGGTACGTAATCTATAGTTGCTATGAAAACTCCTGCGGCATTTTCATACGCAGTGGTTCGGTTTGATATCGTCAAGCGTTCACCTACCCAGAGCTTAAAAAAAACTGAGTAGTTATAATCGGTGTCTCTAGAAGGAAATCCCTGTGATTCTATTTCTAAGGATCTCTTCGACAGTCTGGTGGTGCTAGGCAAGTATAGATTCTCAGATGAGCGACAATTCCACCTACGAATATCACAGATAGCGGCATAGTATTGTCCTAAATGCCCAAAGAAATCTAGATCTACATTTATATTGTTTCTTTTGTGTGGACTATATAAGCAGTGGCAGCTTTTAATTTATATATTTAAATTTGCGTAAATGCCTTTCTACACTTCTTTATATATACCTTTTTACCGATCAAGTTTGCGGCTTTATTCCTTAAACAAGGTTAAGAGAAGAAGAGTAGATCTCAACTAGTGTTATTTCACCCACGGTTTAAAAATCCATTAAAGGAAAATAACATTGTTTACGTAATGACAGTCGCAATACTGAAGAAATGTTCCGAGTCTTACTACGTTAAACATTGTTTGATACAAAATCGAGACGTTATGTTTCCTATTTCCACTGAAATATTTCTGTTGCCCTAACTCAGTCCTTTCTATATAGCTGAGCTTTAATAGATCCGCTCTCCTGATTTAATCGCTGCGCTTGTACCGATGGACAGGTATGCATAACAATCTATCCAGAAGACACAATCATGAACTGGGCTTTGGAAAATCGCGAAATTCGGGAGAAATCCCGCCAAATGGCCCGGGATCACGGCCGTGAGCCATTTCAACACGTCCTCTTTCCCAAATATCGTGGGTTCTTTCGACTGCTGAGTTTATTTAGGGATCGGCTCGATGCAGTATACGACTTTACCTTTATTCACGCCTCGACACGGGGTCCAGATGGCCACAGGAAGCCCGCACCAGGCCTATTCGGTGAGTTCCTGCCGTAACTAGGCATATTGATCTAGTAAAAATGACAAAGTTTCGAATTTTACGTCATTTATGTAGTGGATTTGTATGGACCAGCCAACATCGTCCAGTGATTATGCCCCTATTGTTATATAATTAGCAAAGACTGATGCCTTGGGCGAAGGAAGTCTGCGTGAACGATGAAGCTTGGTATTCCAAATGAATTACATGCCACGAAATTTTTCTAACGACATCTCTAATTATTTTAAATGAAACAGATGAAATATATGTATATATATATATATTTGTATATATATATTATATTATATATATATATATATATAAAATCAGAAACTCTATATTAAAATAATAAGACTCACCTTAACACAATATGATTAAATGATAGCACATGGTAACTGGTTTACTAGGTAAGGCACCGTTACTAAATATCCTCACGGACGTTGGTTTACGTATTGGACAACTGAAATAACATTTAACTAAGCTGGCGTTCGTAAAACGCAAAAAAAAAGAAGACTAATTTTCGGGGTATGTGTTTCATTACGACAGATATCCTCAGAGCTGCTTGTTCCACTATTCATATTCAATTAAGTCGAATCGACATCACAGATGTTCCCCAAGACGAAGAAGCCGTAAAGCAATTTCTAATTAATCGACTAGCCATGAAGGACAGGTATATTACAAATTTCGAACGGGGCCTGACTAGGTATGTGCCGTAAGGCCGTAATCTACCTCTCTAATTCAATGCATTTAATTGCCGTATTATGTATTGGAATAGCCTGTGAAACTAAACTAGATTGATTAATCCATGTTTTATATTTCGACGGCCTAAGCTATACCTAACATTGATAAGAATTGCAACGCTAGTTTGACGCGTCGCCTTGGGCGCTCGTCCGCCAAAGCGCATCGATATACAGAAGTGAAATCGTTCTAATATTTATAGTATCCATAGTAGATCTTCGGGCACGTGCGACTGTTCATCTTGTGCTATCTATCCTTCGGCGGGAAGAGTACCGTCCGCGAGTTGGATTTCTGTCAGATCACTACTAATATTCAATCTATCTCGTTAGATAATAACACATATATTTTTCATATATTACACCTAACTTTCGCAAGAAGGGGTGCCTATTTGAATTAGTTTTTTTCTCGGTGTCTGGCTGACCGATTTACAAATTATGATCGAACATCTATCGTCAACTCAACTGTCAGAACAAGCCACTAACAAATCAATAGTCATTTTAAAGTTTACGATACTTCCTATGCGCGATTCACGTTATATCTGTCGCATTTAGGTTTCTCGACAACTTCTACAGGACTGGCTACCTGCCGGAAAAGGGTGAAACACTGCCGTCGCAAAGTATGTGGTATAATCTACGAAGCTTGGTGATCTTTTTGCTTGGAGCGTATCTCGGCTTTTCAAGGTTCGGAATCGTTATTATGCCGTTCCTTGTCGTAGGACCTGCTGCGTTTCTGTACGGCAAAGTATTTCTTTATTCAGAACAACCGCGTACCGTATGACGTGTGTACCTAAAGTACATAACAGGTGTTCTATTAGACACCACTCGGTCCGATTCGACCGAACTCAAATAAAGGACAACATTGTATTCGTTTGTGTATTATCATTCTAGCCGTTAGGCAATTTAGCGGTTGGTCGTCTGGATCTGCTAGCGAATGATTTTCGAGAAAATCGCGAGGGCCTTAGTCAAAGCTGGTCCAGGTTCACCGACAATCGGAATAATAAGCAATAGCAGAGACAAATGACAAGAAATTACTTCACTGCTTGCCTGTGAACTAGGTATTCGAAGTTTGAATTTTCAAAGCAAGGAATAGAAGTTCAAATTTTCTTGTAGTGGCAGCGTGTTTAGGGACATGTGCTAGTCTAGGCTTCAAACGTACCTCGCTTTGTGCTGGAGACGACGGACCATCTCCAACCTAACTAAAACGCTAGCACTAGCGTGCTAAAAAAAAATACTCGGACTTGTAAAATCTTTTGCTTTATAGTGCGTTAGTGTAGTGAATTGTTTCCCGCTCTCGAGCGTGTCTTATACAAATTCGCACGACGATGCGACGGGTGTCATCCCAAAACCGTTGCATAAATCAACTCCTATGCAAAAACTACTACTGAAACAGACGCCGAGATCGATAAGCAGATGTGGTGGGTTTCACTCGGAAACTGACAATATCGTCTGCTGTGCAGGTTGTAAGGAAATGTCTACGGCTGATCATACACCTAGTATACACAACAATGTAATTAATCAAGGATCAGGTAATAATTCGCAGTGAACTTACTAAATAGACCCTTAATAAAAAACTTTTTAAAGCATTTCGGGAGCACGTTCGATTAGAAGGCTTCACACAAGTGAGACATAGAAAGGGACTTGCGTTTCAATCTTACGGGGGGCACGCCAGTGACGTGCGCTGCCCGATTCAACAAAACGGTTGCCCAACAACTATTTCCAGTGTCAGTTTGCGGTCCCTGTGTACGCGCCTTGCAACACAACAAATTTCATCATTATTATCCAGTTTATTCATTGCCTTAATGGGGTAACTAGGTAGTCATCAATCCCTGTTCATACAAATCACAGCATTTGTATTTGGTCAGGCTGCATAAAATAATAGGCATCTTGAGGCTATAGTTTTTCGGGCCGACGACAGAAAGGAACTCATTCGAGAATTTGAAACAAAGCAGATTTGAAATAAATTATTACTCCAGTGTGCTCTAGACGCTATACAGGTTCTGCATGCTTGCAATATCTACCAAAAAGCTCGACATTTTATGCGGTTGACATTCCTTCCCAGACATGCTGTGCGGATATATGTTGCATCAAAAATCTTGTTTGGTTGCCTATAAGTAAGGATGCAAGTTTTTCTATCCCGATATATTATATTTCTCACCTGAACGCTAGATGTAAACTTAAGCCGCTTAAGGAAAATTAAATCCCGACAAATGCAATACGTCCTTGCCATTCTAGCAATTACATTATACAAATGTACATGGCTATACAATTGCGCACCAATTACTTGTTCAGTCCGCTTTTCAAATAATCGCGCCCTAGTAGCAAGTCCGCCGTCGAGACAAAAAAGCAAAAAAAAAAATAGAGATTTCATTGCGGAGCTACTGATCTTTCAGGCTATTCTTTCATCAGTATTAATTGACTCGAAACGACGATATTATTATTAGGATGACGAACTGGGTGCGTCCGCGCTTTCAGCCGATACAGCTCCGGCTGATTTTCGTTTTTTATTTATTGATTCCCAAAAATCTTCTGTGTGTTTCGGCCATTGTCCACGAGGACAGCCGTAGCGGCATCTTCAGACTATCCGCTGACAAGCAGACATGTAAGTAAATCTGAATGTTGCAGTCGCCTTGCGTCTCAAGAGATACGGACGCGCCATCGTGTTTAGATATGACGCGCGAAAATAACAAGTGAAAAATGCGATGTACTTGTATTGCCTCCACAACTGTTTTACTACTTGTTTAGTTTTACTACTGAGAACTTCAAATATAAATAAGTCATTCTAGATGAAACTATATTGTAATAACTTTTCTGTCACGGTGCGTGTTTGCTTATTTTTCGTTTATTTTGTCAAAAGGAGTAATAAACCGGCCATCTCGAAGACATAGCCAGCGGGTAGGAAACTAAGGGAGACGTGTTTGGCCTAGGGGAGAGTCTGTAGGATATGTGAATCGGTAGAAGAAAATATAGATTTTAGGAAATCGTCAAGTTGAGCAAGCCGTTCTGAGCTCGCCGATTTTCGACCTTAATTGACATAACCATGTTTTACGTGTTATCGTTTAGCCGTACGGACTATTTCCAATTGTTACTGCAACTCGGATTCTACTGGCACAGTGATCATTGACAGTTGAATCTGTAGCGAGGTAGTTCTATTTTTGGTCTTCAAGGTACCATAGCTTTATCTACTACTGGCAGTACGTGAAATTCGTTGTTCTTTACTTGGAATTTCCAGCTGCGACGCTTCTGACCGTCTTAAAAAAATCGCCACAGGTCGCGTCCTTCAAAACCGAGTACGCGGGTGAGGATTCCGATTGCGGCGAGGACCAATTATGCTGGTGGGAGGTGAAAATTGCGGAGCCTAGTAAAACGAGCGAATTTATGTCGTCCCTTGGCCAGGAAGGCGTTGGCGCACCTTTGGTTTTGAACGATGACCCACCGGTAATGTCCGAAATAGCTAATGATGAAGCAGACGATCAGAGTGACGCGGGAGCCTATGCCGTTTTAGCTCAGGCGTGGTCAAAACTGATTGATGACATCCAAGAAGGCGTAGAGTAAGCAATTGTTTTATAAAGCAGTTATGATTCCCTTTCGTTGAATTTCAATATGCTTAGTAAGGGATTGTGGGCGGCGGCGGCTGCGGCGGCGGCGGCGATGGTGGCGGTGGGGGTGATCCACGTTGACGCCTGTGTAAAAGTTGTTGAATGCCATTAGAGGAATACTTCTTTTACGTTCTAATTAGATACTTTATTTAATTAGTAGCGTATATTTGTTGTTGACACCTACTTTTAGTTAAGGGTGATATTTTAGATGGAACGAATGGTCTTATCACCGAATCTTTGAGCCAAGTGATAATTGAGACGAAGCCATAAAGGATAGTCAGAGAACAATGTACTATACGCATTTCGAACCTGATCTTCGTACTTAGCCATTAAATCAAATTGTAAAACAGGATTATGTCCATGACAATGTCGCTGTGATCACCCAGGCAGCACATGCTACTAGGTTAGAGCTTTTTTCGCTCCCTCTCCGGTTTCCGCACAAACTGCGGTCTCGTCTGTAATGACGTATCGTACGTTATTTCATGTCTATATGTATTGCATAGCCGATACGATATCTAGTCAATAACGATTAGTCGACTGACTAAAGTAGCAAATGATTTCTTTCAGCCAAATCAAGGCCAAGAAGTTCTCTAAGTGGTCATGCTTTTTGACAACATCGGTTTTGCTCTCGGCTGCTCCCTGGGTTTTCGCGATTGGCTCTTTAATATTTGCAAAGCAAAAATCTACGCGCGGGGGTGGTGTCAGATTGAAAGGAGAAACTCTTTCCGGTGGCGGAGTCTACGGAGCAGTATTGTGAGTTAAATTTATTGTCATACGAACGAGTGCGTACTTGCTGACTAAAAAACAGTCAGTCTTTACCTACCAGTTCAAACAACGTTACTTATTTTAATCGAAATACTGTTGCAGGACGGATGTTGAAGTCGATGACGCCACCGAATCGTAAGTACGCTAAGGCCACTAAGGCATTTTTGTATCATTCAACGTTGGATATTCCAGCGTGTTTGAGCCGCATCAGTACGTCTATGCACATTCATTAGGCTGACCTAGAATCCACCGTCAAGTTCTTATTAGCGAATACATTTAATGGATATACAAGAAGTAACGTACCAGAAAAAGAAAATGAAAAAATCCGTTTTCCTCGATGCTTAATTCTTACTCGCAATTCACCTTAACCATTTGCGCGAAATGAAGTAACGAAGTTTTGAAATCTTAATAGCTCAGCAGCCAAGGGTCTGACCAGCATTTGTCGATGTCTTCAGGCGCCAGGCCAGCTGGACAACTCCCCCGATGCATCGGGAAGTTCAGGGCGACCACCGTTACAAATCCAGAACCCCGAGTCCGAACCCCCCTTCATTACATCATGGCGTTGAACCAAACAACCTGTTGTCAAGAACTGACGTAGAGTACTATGACGTTGAAGGAATGTTAAATGATGTCCCGTACTACGAACCGCACCTCCCGGAACAACGTCATTAGATGCTAAACTGCGGTTCAATTGATGCAGCTGACCATTCAATGTTCAATGGAATAAATATAGGATACTATTGTCGTCACACATGTAAATCAATTGCTGGTGGGCTCTTCGTTTCCAATGTATATTTGCCAGTGAATTAAAACACATTTTGTGATGCATTGCACTTGCTACGGAGTGGCTAGTGGTGCTTCCAAGAACGGTAACGTACAACAGACGTGTGATTAAATGCTCCGTCTTCCCCATCTGTTGAAGCACGTTATCATAGATAAGTAGTTGTCGGAAGACCTTCGTGAATTTTTAAAAACAGTTTTGCCACAGCATAATTCAGTTCGTAAGCTTAAGGAGTACTTCAATGACTGCATACACAGATTGGAGCCAACAGATCCTTAATATGAAACGAAACCTTAAGCTTATATTACTGGGTTACCTACCTGGGACCTGCGAGGCAATTGTATTTATGTAGCATTTTGTTGCTGAACTCCTGTATATATATACAGATATATTACTTTATATATGTTGTAATATTTTACAGTACAAATTTATTTTCGGAGAAGCGATTATGAGATAACATAAAAACGTACTGATTAATGATTCTAGTCTACTAGGTTTAGCTTTATTACGTATCAAGAAGTTCTATCTAAACAATACTTGACTAAAGAATTCTCTTAATGGTAAATAGTAGGACAAACCAGTCGCCCGAGTCGTGAGTTCTATTCCTTTCGAAATAGAGTTTACGAAGTTTGGGGCGCTGCAGAATGTGACACGCTACGTAATAGAGCTTTTGAAACAATAGCTTGTCTTTGAGGTCGCAGTCGCCATAGGGCTCCTTGGTATCGCTTTTGCTTTCCTGTATTACAGATAACCACGGGTCAGGCCTTTGCAGGAACACAGCGTTATTTGAACTCTGGCTCAAGATGCTCATTGCAAATCGGCTAGGGATCCGGGACTAATTTTGTCCTAAGCCACGGCAGATGGTACCGTTTAAGGTTCGGATTCATAATAGTGTAGCAATGACTGTAGTTATTCAGTGGAAACGCACCCATTGGATTGACGTAATTATTAGAAGTTTGCTGCATTGTTTATTCAGCTTTAATGGGTGGATATTATGAAGATCATCTTAAATACACTGCTTTTCGAGGGAACATTCGCTCGCCGGATGAGCTTCGGTGATTAACCGCAGCAGAGTAGCGTCAGTCAATAGTAGAGGCGCATTCTAGCGCTCCGCCGGCAGCGCCAATCGAAAACCATGAACTTCGAAGTACACGGAACTAAGCATTGTTTGCTGTTTACATACATGGTCGAAGCTGAATAAGGTAAACACATAACGGCGAAAAAGCATTTATCTAATGATTTATGGTCGATAAGTTTTATCCGAGATTTGGCAACGAATTTTGTCTATTATACTGTTTGTTTCCGAAGGACACTAACTATTACGAAGGTCTCGAGCGATCGCATAGGCTCTCATCTCGGCTTTTGAAGAAACACAAAGAAAGAATCTCGGAGGCGCATAAATGCACAGAGCGAAAATTTTCCCTTGGCAGTTTTTTAGTTCATGTCTATTCATCGGTGTGCATAACTACGATTATGGTCTATTCAGTAGACTTGTGCTGGTGTACCCGCTCTGTGCAAATAAGATAACGTAAGTGAAGCTTATGGCTGCTTTGTTGCTAAAGGTTTACTTATGTTTATAATGCTATACCTTAGTGTGTACGGTTGTGTTTGTATACAAGGCAAAAAGCTGAAGTAGTTCACATCCCATACGCGTCTAAGAAATAACAATTGCTATAATTATCGTGCAACCAATTCAAAACGACCTAATTGAACAACACAACAAAAAAAACGAATAGATAAACTAGATTTTCTCTCGAGTAATTCAATCAATCAAACCTGTAAACATTTGAATATTTGGACTTGCCCTCGAAATACGCGATTTTGAAAAAATTATAATATTTTTTCTATAAATATTAAAAAGACAAAAAAAAAATAGATTAATAGGTCCGGGTACGGTTGATGAGTTCATGGAGACATTCCTCAGTTACTCTGTCCAGTTATTTTGCAAGCTAACAATTCACAGAACGTCACTTGATGGCATGACTTCAGGATTATGTACAGATATTAATTTTTTGAACCCGAATAGATACTTCTACGTTCAATTTGTAAAACCGGCAATGCAACATAAAAGTTAAAATTAGCATTATGTAAATCTGAGATTACAAAACGTTGAATTCAACGGTTTTTCCATCGGTCAGGTGCTGACGAAATCTGGATCCTGAGCAACCGGACTACATTTGCAGATCTATTACTGGACGCTTCCCTACCATGTGTTAGGGACACGAAAGCGGCAATTTATCAGGAAGAAATTATAGGTTTTAGATTTCTAGATATCTACACAATAGGTACAGGTCCACACAAAGCAGCTAGATGATGAAGAATTTCCCAAACTTTTCATCATATAATATGATACGGAAGGTCTATGAAAACGAGATCGATGGTGCCAACAACTTAATGAAACATATTTGTGAAGTATAATGGAATTGTATCGTTACGGGACTTGACTGTAACCAACGGATCCTCTCCACACACGCCGCTTTGTACGACGAGTAATCGTTGTTGAGTGTTCCATAATGTGAATTTTACCCTATGGCTGATTCAGGTGCCAACTATCTACTAGCTATAGATAATACAGCTAATTTTAATCGACAAAACGGAGACATTAAGGTAGAATACTCAATGCAACTAGCGATTCGGACGGATAACGGAATAAAACAACGGTATAAGAATAACGTAAAAAACACGTACAACTGAGGCATGCACAGCAGGATGGTAGCGATGCATCCCATAAAGAGACACACTTTCAATATCTTTTATCGGAAAACACTCATAAGAAAATTATTGCAAGAAACTCGTATAGCAAGCTAGTCACAGGTATCGTATAGCTACATACATGTCATGTTTCCAAATAAACAACGACTTTTTAGTCGTCATTTATAACGACAGATAACTATTAATTTACCTCTCTGTATGTGTATTTTTGCAACTAAAAATTATGTATTTTGGCAATAATATTAAACAAACTTTCCATTCATATTTCTAGTAGAAATAAATTGGAGACTGTTAGCCCATCAATAAAAAAATAATCCGACCGGTTTCATCGTAATCCTCTATCAATTCAAAAATGCTGTTAGGGCTAAATAAGTTAAAATTGTTTATCTCTTTTCGCAAATTACTTGATAATAATGATCTGCCATGTATCAGCCACTGTATGAGTCGTCCAGATTTAAATTCGTTACGAACCCTCTCTTTTGATTACGCAAAGCGATCTGTGGTTGTTTTGGCATGCTGCAACTAGCTGAAACAGCTTTAGCTCATGCTGTATCAAGATATAAAAACACCGGGTTTCTAAGGAAATAGGTTTTAAAGGTCGGTGCTATTCGAATCGAACCCCGCATGCAAAAGGAACAAACGAAGAAGATCTACTGCCCACTGGATATAATGAGTGTTGCTGATATCTTGTGTGGGCGCGTAAATATGTCGTTAGTTTATACAACAAAACTTTCGACCATCCGGCGCTTTTTATGCCTATTGTAAATATCACCGCTGGAGATACCGCTACACGTTAGCTTTTATTCCGTAGTATTCATGCGATTCTGTTGGAGAGAAAGTGTTCCTAGTGACATCTCCACTTCTAGAAAGCAGACAATTCCTTACCATAATTCGAATCAGTTGCCGTTGGTGGAGTTTCGATACGTAAATGTGGACTTCATTGATATTGTCAGCTTATAAATGGGCACTGATATTCTATTTTTAGTTTACGCGGACCTTAATATGGCAGATTCATTCACCGACAGTGTCCTAATGTGGATGCGATATGACCTCCAACTGAAGGAGGAACTGGATCCACTTAAAGTGCCGAAATTCGGAGAAGGCAATTATGAGGTGACCAACGGAAGAGTGTTTGGACTACTAAGCTTCACTCGTAACGGTAACTCCAGTCTTTTCTACTCGTCAGATGCTACGTAGGTTGACTCGCCTTTAAAAATAATTTGAGCCACACATCGTGCAAGTAACATGTACGCTCAGTGATCAATATATTGATACTATATTGAGAACTATACTATCTAATCCAATAGATCTGGTTGGATTTAGATACACGTGACCACGATAATTTATCCCTTCACATGAAACAAATCAACTGTTGATAAACCCGAGTATCATCGATGCTTGTTGAAATTATACTGTTGTCTAAGTCTCTAAAATCAATTGAGGGTGCCTTCGCACCTATAATTACCCGCAAGACCATATCAACAGATATTTTTCGGATAGAAATTTTAAAACGTCACAATTTATCTAATGTTCAAAAGGCTCGTTTTGACGCCGATCGTTGTTAGTCAAGTATTTCTCTGCGGACGACACACTTACGGTAATGCTTCTATCATAATACGGGGCGATATTGAGGCAGAGATCGATTTATGCCAATTCTGCTGTGCGAATGCCCTGTGCTAGGAACGCAAGCCCAAAACTTGAAAGTCTTAAGGTGTGTAATAACATGAAAAATGTTTGTATGAATCTATCAACCCTAAGAAGAACCTCTGCTTGCTCACAAACAGAGGAATTTGATTTTGGCGAACGATACAAAACAGTTTTTTCTTTCCGTAGAATACAGTTTTGAGAAGAATAAATATAATAAAACATTACAAAGACTTCCGTGTTTCGTTCGCATTTTAGATATCGAATATGGAAGGATTAGAGATCACAAGGATCACAGGAATGTCACAAGCCTTTAACTGGTTATTGAAAATTGTAGCAAATCGTATGACAAAACAATTTAGAGAAAAAATTGAAAGCGCCTTTGAGCGTCAGTTCGCACCAAATTTCGAAATAGTCCTAATTCCGTTCAATGGAAGCGCTGGCATTACCGAAACGCCGTTTGAAGGTGAGTACTCCTGGTTTCGGCTATGACTTCGCAATCGGTTCTATGGCTGATTAAGACATAACACTGCTGGAACAACTGAAAGTGCATGCCGACATGGCATAAATAAACGTTTGAGACTCGTTTTAAAAATCTTCGTTTGTCATCCTTTATTTAGCCTTTTAAGTGGAATATTTTATTTTCGATAATGCTTTTAAAGATCTGTTTGTCATCATAAAATTGGCGATAACGTTTTGTTCGATAATAAAAATTTACGTCCAGCACAGCTGACGATTGCACTTGGCTTTGAACCCAACTATCTCACATGGTGGTCATTAAGAATCTAGGGTTAAGTAAGGCATTAATTCATCATGACTTTACTAGGTTGTTCTTTATCCCAATGTATTATATGTTATATGACACGTAAAGAAAAAATCACAGTGCGACACGCAGCTTTGCCGTTCTATACTTCACGCATGTCGCGGTGTTCTTGACGCTTTGTCAGACACAGACCCTTAAGACTAGCGTATCGATATATGAAGCATATCACTCGAAACATCGGATCGTTATTACCTGTTTTACTTAATGAATGACTTATACATCACATTGGAAGTTAAGATTACAAAATTTTCTCAAGAACTTAACAACGACTCTGCTAATGTTGGGGTATCATGAGTTATTTTATTATTATTATTTGTTAGTATTGTGAGTTCAATAAGGGTCTTTTCATTATCTTTCCGATTAAACTGTACACAATATCGTTTGGGCTTGAAAAACGCCAGCGTTAAGCAAGTCCTTTGGCAACAAAAATTTTTCAATTTGATTTCCGTAGATTGATACGATCTCTTTAAGGTGTATTGGCCTACCTTACAAGACCTTGATAGACACTGCGCAACTGTATAGACGATGGCTCCTTTAATAGACGATATCGTCTGCAGGAGTCCTTTGAAAAATCTCAGTATTCGAATTTTTCGGCTAAAGCTAATTTCTACCATGGCAGCCTATTTGTTCGTACAAGTAATCTATTTTTTTTGTTGTTTATTTGTTCGAAAATCATGACGAATCAAATTACGGGAGTAGTCAGAAGGCCATGACGTTATAATTATACAAATGGTTAGTTCCCTACATTTAGTGAGCTATGTCTACTTTATGAGTATGCCGTAAGAAATTGACCGCTTGTCTCGTGTCAGCTTTACGTAAGTGCCAAGAAACACGAACAAAAAGCGATCACAAAAAGTCTATTCTATATTCACATAACAAATGACGCTTGCTGTACCAATGCCATCTAACTAATGACGGACATTTTATTTTCGTCCATTCTGTCAAATGCACGTAGTATAACGGGAACAATCATTTAATAAAAAAAAAAAGAGATAACCCAATAATAGGTCGAACTAAAGCAGTGGACACCCTTTTCGAAATTAGTCAATTCCTGTTACGCTTCAAGTTGTCACGCGTACGCAAGTACCCGATTTTTTTTTTGACTACCCCCGGTTGCCTGCACATCATCGATTACGATCCAGCTTCATTCTACATCTCGTTGTACGCCATGTAGGTGAATACAGCGAGCAGACCAAATTGTAAACTTGCATATTCGGAGCAAGTAAATTCACAGAGTAACCAGTACAACCCTACCCACATTGTCATAAAAATGAAGCGTGTCCGGTTCCGTGGTGTGAAACGTGCTGAAGAGCGGATCGTACATGGTCGTATCGAGGAGTAATTCCGTGGGGGGAACACGTCAAGCGAGGCAGACCATTCAAGAGCGGTGCCTGGTAAAGCCGTAATCACGATCGAATTTCGATTTTCAGTGGCCTCCTCCTGAAATGATATTGATTTTTTGAGAAGAAGTGGTTCTAGAAAATCGACGAATAACTGGTTAACTGTGGTAGCAGTATGTATTGAAATTAACTTCCACCTAATTGAACAACAACACTTTCAAATGTAATATAGTAGCTTATAGTCTAGTCATTATTAACCATGTCTAACGCATTGAATGTGGGGTTATATTGAACCCATCCGCGCAAAATTTCAATACAAAACATTAGTGGTAATCGCGTACTTCTTTGCGCTCCTCCTCAATGCGAGCAATATCTTTAAGCAGATCGCTTTCCTCGTGTCCTAAAAATTCGGCCTCTATTTTAAGTTCTTCGATTCGCCTTTCATATCCCGCCTCCTTATTTTTCGAATCAGTTAATTTCTTGAAATAGGATTTAGTCAGCATTCGGTATCTATAAACGGCAGAAATGAATACAAAGCAAGTTACCTAAACATACTTTTTTAGCTTACGTTTGTAACTATATCAACATACAAGTCCTGTTTAATGGAAAAGGGGGTTGTCTTACGAATTTTCAATATACATGATAGGAGCTTCATCTAAGATTACCTTACAGGCGATGTTCTACTTCCCTCGGTTCCTACCTCACATGAGAGTCTTTGTCAAGGCTGTATGTCGTCTGCTAAAATAATCAGAACAAAACCTATTTGTAAGCGAACATTCAATGCGGATTCGCCTACCGCTCGAGCTGGAATCGACGTAAAGAGCATTTTGTCGATCGAAGACTACAGCGGTCCACGAGTACTTGCAACTGCGGTAGCCGAACAGCAACCTCTGCTGGAAGCTTTTCCATGCCAGCATTTTCAGCTTGTAAGTCCTTGACAACCTGCAAAGCAACATTCGTACTTGTTGAATTTCCTAATCTGGTCTGGGTTTTTTTGTGAATTTTAGTGAAAAAGCTGTAAAAAAAAAAAAGCTAGAATCTTAGTTCCAGGTCTTTTTGGACAAAACCGATAAAACACCGAAAACAGACTTTCGTACAAACCTCCACAATGGGATTATAAGCATTTTTCTCGCTTAAGAAGGCTTGCCCTGCTTGATATTAATAACTTCCTATCTAGTCTAATAGGAAGTTGTTAATAACGTCTATATGCACTTATTGATTCCTAAAATTTGGCTTAAGTTTCTACTCAAAATTCGAGTACATGCCAAGTACGATCTTCACTAGGAAGCAACGCAACGCCAACAGGCAATTTCTCATTACAACATGCAAATTTTTAGAGACGTACACGTCCTTTCCTAGGCTAACTAAGTATGTTATAACATACTTTCAAGTTGCAAAGATTCGGCATTAATTCTGTGAGTTTCCTTTCACCTTCATGGCAAGAGCAGCTGCTTTAAATTTCGCCCACGGTCGATGTATTTTGTGGTACTCCGTAAAATGCTCGCAGTCGTCAACCATGTGAGAGGAGGCTGGGCGCTCAAGTGATTCCATCAGAGCCCTGGTACAGAAAATCATCCTACGTACTGTTAAACATCATAGTCTTATACATTAACATCCTGTCATACCGAACACCGACATTGACCAAGCCTAATACTCCTTCTGGTTTTAATTGGATGAAAAAGAACAATGCCGTTGCTTGGCACAGTCGGTGTGGTCTGCCTCGTCGATACTTTAGCTGCGCTCTCAGGGCTCGTCGATCGCCCATTACATTTCAATATTAATCATCTCACATTAGCCTGACAAAGCTGCTCATAAATATGATAAAGTTAATCATCTCATTGAGTAATAAAATCCAGAAAAAAAAACTTAAATTTCTATGCCGGAAACGATGCACAACGTTTCGTGGATCTAATAATTGTGTTTAGCTTTTGCAATGTGATTTTCTGTTTGTACTTGACCCCCTGTAGTGAACTGAAACTGCATAGAAGGTATTATTTGAGAGCATCTGGGTAACAGCTAATAGGTTGGAAGTTCCTGTATAAAACCAAAGTCGAAAGTTTTGAGGTGTTAGTTGTATATCCGTACGGGTAAGCACTAAGTATTAACGGAGCAAAAGATGAAAGCGTTAAGCGAAAATGATCGCAGGTAAAACTACTGCTAACTCTATATATAGAACTGTTGGCACAATTTGTTCAACCAGTATAGCGAATGAAATGAGACGGTTTGCTTGGAGGACACCCTTTTGATCAATAGGCTTTCAAAATCCTTCAGACCCCGATGCTGGGCAATAGAGCGTTGCCGCTGCAGGATAGGCTGAAGATTCCACTCAAGGTGGCGGCCCATATAATCCCACATTATGAACTTGCTTTAGGCAAAACACCTTGCTTGCACAGCAAACGCCACAGATACTGATGCAGGTTTTACAAGCGGATTCGTCCGTTTATTCAATGGTCACTAAGTAAAGTTCGTTTTCTATCTCGAAGCTCAGTCTGCTGGGGATCACCGCTTCTCTCACCCTGCGCAGACAGCCAGCCAGCCAACCAGCCAGCACGCGCACTTCGTCGACTTTCACGAGTCGCGGGAAGTGGTACCATTGAGAGCAGCTACATATGACACAATCGATTTCGAGGAAACCGTCAGAAGAGTTTGTTAATTTAAAAGATTTAACAGGACTGGGTTTGTATACTCAACCTCTTGTTGCTAGGTTGACTTGGATCGTATTTGACATGGAATGATTGCTATCACTTATTTCAAGTAACGTTTTATCGCGACGATGAATCGAAACCTAATCGATTATCGTTTTGATGGAGTAATCATTCAAAATAAATCCTGTTATAGCATAAAAGCGTCTATGAACAACTTGCTTAAAGATGTATTAGCAAACAGATTCGCTCATCTGGTTTTCTTAGACACACCCCAAGTCAGGTTGTCGATGACAGTAACTATATAATTCAAGTCAGCTGTACTTCCTACTCTGTAAAACAATATAGAGAAGAAGCAGTAGCTGCACATATATCCAAGCACGCCGATAGAATACGATCGGCGAAAATACGAAATGTTATTTTGCTATGTCACCTAGATAAACGTACGTGTTTTCATAAAATCATCACGAATAACCTTCAGTCAATGAAATTCAGCTTCGATCTTTTTCTGGACTTCATAACAACGGAAGCTGTGAGGTTCGAGCGCCTAGCCCCATAGCCACGCAATCTTCGCATGTGTCCTTTCGACGCTTTTGGCATACTGTCAGCGTTTTCGTTCTCAGATCTCACCCTCATCACCGAACCTCGAACGCACCGATGCTACGAACGGTGACTACTAGCAGACGCCTTGACTCTCCTTCTGGGCGCTACCGAATGGCCTAAGACGATATTTTGGCGGGTGACCGTTTGAATCTATTTACAAATACTCCGTGGTCGTCTGCCCAAAAGCGCTAAGATCAACAGCAGCAGCAGCAGTAGCGACTCTTGCCAGGGCCGGAGGAGCTCTCCCTAAGTCTCTCGGAGCGGATTGCGAAAATTGCAGTGAGAAAATGTTCCACCCAAGTTAACGTTTTCCAACCCACGGAATGGTGACTGTGATCGGTTTCGACTGCGCGTGCATTGTGTCCTTGCAGGAAGCCGACTAGTGCAGCTTTTCAATAATGTTGGAGCCGGGTGGACATCGGCAGGGACGCTGTGATAATACTCTCTAGGGTAACAAATACACCAAGCAGTAAAAAAACTATTACAAAAGAGTATCGGTGGAACGTATTCTTTGAAAGACTCCAGCTTGCCGTTCAGCCGTTTTTTTTTAATATACCGGGTACATCCCAGTGTTAACCACTATGCTCTCGGTGACTGTAGCTGTCAGTAAGCGAGCTCGTATATGCGTATCAACAGTACAATATTCTTGTTATGCCAATTTTTATGTATTTCTATAGACGCAACTCCTTGAAAATGTCATAAGCGTAGGTTATTATAAGGATATCAAATCTGTAATTTAGAGTAGTTGTGACCCGTTTCTTTTGTGTCTCATAGATCTGTGCCGCCTAGCTACTCACCAATGGCACAGAAGGTGCTTTATGAAGCTGAAGTGTTTTTGGCACTTGCTTCTGTGGCACTCGTCGAAAAACCCAGCCTAAACGAGAGCGAATCAAACGGAGACTCTAGCCATTCTCGGTGGGACAGTTGGTCACCTTCACAGCGCTTTCGGTGAGCAATTGCAGATTAACATCAACAATTAGCAAAATAACCAAATGAGAGAGCATAAAAGATTCTTGCTCGCAGTATTAATAAGGATATGACAATGCGCTTATATAGTTCTTAGTCATCCGAGCATACTTTAAAAACGTTTAGTAAAGAAGAGTAATATAGCATAGGAAAAACAAATACAAAGAAATTTCATGCTAAAATTTTGATATTTTTAAAATTAATTTCAGCCTATATTCCAACCTAATTCGCTATGAGCAGTTCTTCTTCGAGCGATACATTTGCGACAGCATTCTAGATGCTGAGAGACAATGGAAATTGGAGGATGAGGCTAAAATAGTGCGAAAAATGTTCATATCCTATCTTAAAAAGCAACCGGATATCGCACAGCTCATAACAATTTACAGTGAAGGTAAGGTGTTACAGAATATTTGATTAACTTGATTACATTTAAATATAATAACATCGTAATATAATGAATATATTTGACAATAATGGATAATAGATGCCATCATTCGAGTTGAGTAAGGATATGCATCAAGCTGCATTCAATTACCATAATATTTCCTAAAAAATATGCAAAGACAAATACGATCAAAATAAGATAATTAAGGGACATTACGATTAAACGTAGATTGCATTGTGGGATTACAAGATCATTATGGAAGTATAAGCGCTAAGAATTATTTGTCCTTGAACTGCAAGCCCTCAGGACCAAGCGTCTCTAAATCTCATCAAATTCGTTCCCTTGAGACAACTGCTACACCTTCTCATCTTTGTTCTGTTATAATTTGCTGTATTTTATAGTACAGGTCGATTCGGAGAGTTTTAATCGCTTTTTAACCGTTGCTTTTCTTTCGCATTGTGTACCTGTTTCTTGAAAAGTATTTGGGAGGGACAGCCTTTCTTTACAAGTTTACGCATTCAAACAGTGTATTTTATAGCCTAAAGAAACAATCTCTTTTCGTGTATTTATATTGATTTTAGATCGGGGATCATTTAGGATTCCAATTCGGGTAGAAGATATATCGCACACGCTCCGGAGCCTAGGATGTTTCGAACGTTTTTTGCGCCGATCTTCTGGATTGGAAGTATCCTTAACTGTGGCAAAAACAAAGAGTATACAAAGGATACGAACTGTATTTGAAGAACATTTTCCTAAAGAGGTATATATATTACCGTTGATATTTATTTTTATATTTAATCTCTAAACGCCACAGGGTTGTTAAATGGGCACCTCAAGCAATAATCTACTAAGTAGCTTCATGAAAGGTCGTAAGTGAACGGGGTACCTGTTAATCCGAATAAATACGGATAGTAATGAAAGGACTTAATTCCTAAAATTACCAAAAGGAAATTCGAGAAATTTGTGGAATACATTTTTCAAAATTTTTAATTCTCAAATAAGTTCCCTAAGATTAAGTTTAAAAATCCCGAACTATTTTTTTTGCAAGTTTTTGGCGAGCAACGCGTGCAGGGACACCGAAGCGTACGCCGAACACAATGGTGTGCAGGCCCAATATCACCCTCACGTGATGCCAGTGTCGAGGCGGAAATACAACCCGGTAAGAGAAATTTTGCATTAGCTTACATACCGGCTCGACGTTCTTGGAGGTAGTTTGGGACTACTACTAGAGCAAATTAAGTAAATTAAGACTTTGAGCTTTAACGCTATTCGTAAACACACGCATTATAGGTTCTCAACATATCAAATGTGGTAATGTTTTTATTAAAAGAAAAAACGTACATGTCATTGGTTCATTCAATCGTTCTGTAGAGTATATAGGCAATTCGTCTAGATCGCATACACACCTTCATCAAAACAATATGTGCAATTTAACCAAAATAAAAAAGGTAAGTCAGCTTCAACTATTTGTATTTCGAAAATCAAGCTCGTATCCCGATACATATAACACGTATTGTAATCTAGACAATTTTAAAAATTAGTTACTTAATACTATTTGACTCTTGTTAATTTGATTTTGATAATTTTATTGTCATGCGGCACTGCTCTCTTAAAACAATGTTATCTACCAAACTTAGAGACGATATTTTTCAATGGCTTTCCATTTGCTTTTGTCGATATATTGAACTAAACTGCAGGTGCTTAGCAGCGCGACCCTCAAATTCAGGAGCCATGAGACTTTACAAGCCATGTCAATCGGGCTGGCTGCGCTCGCAAGAAGCGCCTACTCTTCTTCGACTAGCGAAGAGTCGCACTACCTCAAATCTGAAGACCTTAACGAAATCATTGAAAGCGGAAAGTATTTCTTTAGCGACACCGTGCTTCTGCTACGGCAGCTTTACATTCAGGATGCAGGTCGGGGATCTTTAACTGAAATGCAGTTAGAGAACATGTTAAAAGAACTTGGCGAAAAACTAGAACTGACGCCGTTCAATTGTCGCGCAATTAGCTCGACCAGAAAGACGAACTACTGGAGAGGCTTGAAAATGCGACACAGTTATAACCTTACTGAGACAGAAGTTCAGAATGCTATAACAAACTTTTTCCTCTCCGCTAAAATGGCGTTAGTTGTAGCAAAACATGCCGTACTTGCTCTATTTGACAGTCGCATCCGGGGCGCCATCGAGCTAACTGCTAGCTCAGATCATCTTATTCACTATCCTGACATTAACATCCTCGAGGCTATAAAAGTTGCTTCCAAGAACTTTCAAGGAGCAGGTGTGTTTTATATGATTGACGAATGCCCGAGACAAGAAATTATTCCAAGACCCATTGACCAAACGGAACTGAAGACGTGGCCAGAACTTGAACAGTGGAGATATCGTAAATCGGTGCGGCGGTTCCTTGAGCACCAGGAGCGACTGAGGCGCAGGCTGAATATGCCTTCAAAATCTACTTCTGCTGAACATCGGATCTGGCGGGTTATGTTGGCTGAGGAGCAGTTCGACGGTAAGCAAGACGCACTGACTTTGGACGGAAACTCCGCAAAGGCAATTCTGGGCTACGATTTGTTGAAGAATGTCTTCACAACGAAAAAGGATGATGTTGTACAACATATTAGTGACATAGAGAGCGATAATAGTTTATCCTCGAGTAGCAGCACAAGTAATAGCAGCAGTTTTATCTCTGACGAAAAATCAAATAACGGAAACGTAACGGAACCTTTGAACGAGTCAAAATCACCCACGGTCACTTCGACCACTGAAATCGGAATCGATGGCATCGATATAGGCAAAAATACGCGCTCAAGTACGCCTACTTACGAAGGCGTTGAAAGCATCTTTAGCGACGAAGAAAACCGGGTCCCTATAAGCAGACGAACTACCAGCCAATACTCCGGTGAGGCTTCATGCAAGATTGCCACGTTAACGTATGCCATAGAGCACCCAAAGACGACATCTACATCCAGCGATCTCAAGATGGGGCAAAGCCACGCAATAACCAGGATCATACGGCCGGAGTCCTTAAAGACCCCGTGCCTTGGAGAAGCTGTCGAAGATGCATCGAATGAGCCCGAAGAGAAACGTGTCAGACGCGATTTCGCTAGGGATAAACGTGATGACGATTAGCTTAGTCGCATGAAATGATTCTGGCAGTGCCCTATAGTAATTCTCGCCCTATTTTAAAATGGGTAAAGTGATTTCTCCAGTTCACTGTTACTGTTTTCTACTCTAGAGAAGTATAAGTCAGACGTACGTGTTAACATTACTTGAAAATATTTTAAATAGAAAGAGAAGAAGCCTATTTAACGCAGGCCGTTTTTCCGTCGCCACCACAGCCACCCTATCACAGGCATCTTTTACTGACTGTTAATACCACTGGTTAAATTTCTGTTTCAGGCTAAAAGGGTATGAGCTTGTTAATGTCGATATGGTGCCGTCTGTTACTGTTCGATCAAATTGATGTTGACCTGTGTCAGTCCTGAATACGAAACAAAAAAAGACTTGCTCGCCGATAGTTGTGAATGTAACAAGACTGCCCTACTAGTCAACGAAAAAACAGATTAAGCAGTGAAGCACATGAGCATGTTAGCGCATTGGCGCTGCTAAACGCATCGTGTGCGAAATGGTGACTATCAACTCAAGAAGAGATGAATAAATTCGATTTTTTCTAGGCGTTTAGATTTGAACCCGTTGGATAACTGGACCTGTTTTTGAGAGATATTATTTGGCCGTTTTCGTCTGGTCTCGCTATTCCAAAACTTTACATTGTTTCGTGAAATGTGCTTGTGTTATCTAATCTTGTTTGTGATTATTCTATAGTATGTTTTTTTTCTAATCAATTGATAGGAATCGTTTGAATTGCACAGCGGATTAGTTTTAACTGTTTGGCATGGAAGAACTTGTTGCTTTAACTAAAGTCAGCCAAGTCCCAGTTGTAGAAGGAAGCTTTTTACGCTCGAGCAATGCACCTAGTGACTTCTTAAGCTTGTGTTCGAGTTGTCATTTTGCGTAGCAGAAAAAGTAACGTTACGTTGAACCAGAAAACTCGAGAGGTATAGCGACTCGACGATTTAAGCTAGGTTTCCATTAGTGTTTCATAACTGCACTCGAAGAAATGAACGGCATACGTTGTTTGTATGTGCCGAACACTAGTTTGATAGCTGACAAGCGGCCATCAAAGCCAATACCAATTGTTCGGTGCTCGATGTCAAAAAGGTGTGCTTAGCTTTAAACGTTTATTCTTTACAGTTGATTGGTTCATAACTCGCCGATATAGCTCCCCCTTTTTTTTAACGCATTGTGTGGGGTCTTCAGCCTATAAACAACGCCGGAGTGCCATAATGTTATGAAGCTCTGTGAATGTATTTAATGCGCGGGCGTTTAAAATGTTAAGCAATCAATAGTGTAAAATGCTCAACAGTAGTTTATCTATTAAATGTAGCCGAATATTTAACAACATTTTGCTAACGAACAAAGAATATCTAAGAGGTTAAGGATGCATAATCATGGGGCCTTCACGTCGATTGCATAACCATTTGGACGCTCTGTTTCTACGATACGAAAGGTTATTAATGAGACATATGCTAGAAGTTTCCATTAAACTAGTAATCTAATTACGATCTATGTACGTATAAAATCACTTGAAAATATTGTTTATATACGCAGACGAGGAATGACCTAGTGAGTAAATGAGTACGCAAAATGTAACCGCATCTTCATGTGAAATAGACTACTGGCAGATAATACGGATAATTTCTAAAAAACGACAGGTTACATATGTGTTTCAGTGGGGGGCGAATTTCTATCGCTACAGGATGTCACAGCAACGTCAAGTCGCAGACTTCATACCCGCATCAGTGAACATGAAAGCTTCTTGGCAATAAGATATGCTATTTATTAAGTTTAAATTTTTCCATAACTGACTCACTGCTGATGAAGTTAAAATTGTATGATTCTTATTGTCTGATAACGTAAGTTGGGATAATAATCCAACGAATACTGATGAGGTTACGGGCGCTGCGACGCGTTTTGTTGTGAATCACGGCTATTGTCTAGTTGCGTTCATAGTTTTTTTTAAAAGAAAAAATGTACCCTGTGTAACTCTGTACATACGCGTTAAAAGTGATAGGAATAAAAAGAAGTGTCGAGTTAAAAATTGGGTTGACAATGTTTTCCTTGACCTTCATTCCCATGAACTGATAGGGAAAACCTACAATAGAGCTTGACGGGTAGTTGCTTATGGCCGCCTAAAATAAAAAAGTAAATAAAAAAAACGCTTCCAAATAATTTCAAATGTCTCCTGTTCTTTTCCAATTCACGCCATATTGGCCCAGTTATTCCTTCTCTAGCCTAACTGGCCACAATTTCCAGTACTAGCAAAGAGGCGGTAAATAACAAGCGCAACAGATACCGCTATATTCGAGTGTATACATATTTGAAGCACCAGGCGATATGAGTTCATGTAGTAAACAGTTTGCGAGAACAAAACTTGCGCTATAAAACAAGCTGACGCTAGAGTATTTCGGGTGTCAACAACAGCGAATAACGTAGTAAGTCGAGGTCGATTATCTGATATTTCGCTTTTGTAGGACAAATTTGTGAACTTATTAGAATTTTTAAGTCACTTTTATAAATAGTGTAACTATTTCGTTTCATCGTATGAAGAATACGAAGAAGACGGAAATCATCATATGAAGAATAGGCTTAATTGTACTAGTCGTTTATCTAGTCTCCCGGCCTAGGGTGCCGCAGTTACGACGATGACCAATGAAACAAGCCAGCGCGAATTTTCTATAGCGTTCAAGCTGCCACTGCGCGTACCCACCTGATTGAAGGTACGCTGAGGACGATGAATAGCTCACAATAGTTATGCTCGCACCAGCAGAAATTATGGGTGAATTTCGTTCCCACGGAGTTCGATAACAACAGCTTTATCCAAACTGGCGGATGTTGGTGTGATCTTATCTCCGCACAAAGCTGATAAGGAAATCATGACAGCAGAACATTGTTTAAAAGGGAGTGCATAATATCTATATCACGTCTAGCTAGCTAGATCGAGCCAAAGTCGATCTCCGATAGCCGATTTGTGCAAGGTGAATCTTTCAGAGGAGATATGCAGAAAAACATTGCAAGAATAGAGTTTAGCTTAGAGAAATCAGTAAGATATAGATACAAAAAAGTTAGGGAAGGTCGTGGGAACAACTCGGATTAAACCACACAGATATTAGCGGTTGTTATTTTTTTTCTTTATCATACACTAATGTCAATGTTATTGGAAGATGTGCAGTAAAGGTGTATACAATTGTTGTCTATTGGCTGATATTCAGCACCCGGCAGTGTTTTTCTGGGCTGCTCTGCTAGCTGAGGAACGATCGGAGCAAATATTATGCTAGAGACGAGACAAGTTACGCGTTTTAGAGAAAGTATCTCTGAATACTAAATGTTGATTTTGAGAAAAAATGTATTTGTTATAAGCATCTCGGTGTTATTCGATTTTCTTTTCCAAAAGTCTGTATTTTTTTTAGTGCTTTTTTCGAACCTGAACTCACCTTTAGTTCCTCTAGCTATATTTAGAGAGTAAATTTTCTGGAATCCGATACCTTTTATATAATCGAGCGGCGGAATCGAGCGCTGCTATACGTCTGTTTCTTATAGAAAAGTTTTGATGGAGCTGATCGGCTGAAAGATATGAAACACCTGTCCTTCGTTAATCGAATCGGCTGCTCTCTGTCCTATTAAATAAATCTAATTATGATCTTCAACCATTTTCACATTTAGCTTGCCTCCCCTACGATTGGCGTATCAATGATCCATTCTCAAAAAAGTGTACCGTACATCGGCTCAAGGGCTGGTCGGGCTGTAGCACATTGCATTTCTACCTAGTCAATTAGTTTGTTAACAGCTTGGGCATAGAAACCTGAAGAACATTTTGCCAATGTAGGACTATTTCAAAACTATTTGGGAGTCAACCAAGTAAACTGGTGCAGGCCACTTTTCCTACACAAATTTCATCAAGCCTCGTAGTGGACACTGTTCAACGTCGCATAAAAATCCTGCGGACAAGTACTCTTTAGGTAAGCGAAACATAAGGTTGTATCAAATAAGGCTTTTCCTCAGCTGGTGTGAAAGGCATTTGTATGCACAGCTCGCCATACGATACCCCGGCAGGAATTACAGTTAGGCGTTTACATACAACTAAACCTCTTCCACCGATCCAGTAGAGATTATGTTGAAAATCAGACCCAGCACGAGTCATCCGTAAGAGCCGTCGAAGCACCCGCACGAGCTCCCTTGAAGTCGAGTTAGCTGTCACTTCCCACACTTCAGGTCTCTCTACCTCACATTATGATGAGATAAGAGCCAAGGCACCTGCGTTTAGGATCGGAGCTGACGTTTGCGCGTCACCATGTTACTTCTACACCTTTAAATCAACTCGCTTCACGAATCAATAAAGATATGGTATAGGCTGTGGTTTGCCAAGTCCTACTATTTATTATTTGAAAATGCCTATGGGTCTGTGGAACTAATCATGATTTGCAGCCAACAAAACGTATAAAAGAGTGTTGTAAACGCTTTTGTTGTAATTCAGCTTGTACTTTATGCAGTGACATAGCCACAGTTAGTTTGAACAATCCGAACGTGTTATCTTGTGAAAGTCAAGCACTTTTGATCCGTAAAGTTTAGCCGAATATAAGGCTAAAAAATCGGAAGAAAAATTCACATCCAGCAGAGCTGTTAAGCATTGCTTCGAATGGGTGGCCCCAGCATAAGTATGCGTCTACCACGTGTTCCATATGTTCAGTAGGTAAATACCACTGCGCTATAACGAAGACGCGTTGAAAAATAAGCAAATATAAAGGACCGTAGCTCAAATTGTCTACCATGAGCATTATGCTTTACTGTTGTGTCTACAAACATATTGAAGAGCTAATCGAGTCAAATGGCTGAGATGGCGTGTAACGTTCTGTTGTGCTATTTCAGCACGAACTCAAGTGCGTAAAACCTACTCGTAGTATGAAATGCGTAGAAATTTATAATTCTGTACGAAGTTACTTTGTTACAACTCATGTCGAAATACCGTAACAAAGTTAAGGTACCGACCTACGTCACACACCTTGGCCAATGGGGTCGCGCGCCTAGGTGTCGGCACCCGACTGGGGTATTGCCGTCTAAGTTGCAAACGATTTTCTCTGGATGCCGAATGCTTGGGTGAATCATTATGTCGATATTTCGTTATCAGCTGTGGGTCAGGAAAAGGGAGCGAACAGCCAAGAAATTGATTTGTGGGAGATTGCAAATGTCATTAAGTTGAGACACCGTCGCTTCTACGTTGAGACCAAAAGGACATATTACTGTGCAAGGTCTAATTTGTAGAGGTTACCAGCATCCGGCATTTCGGCCTAAAGCTCCAACTGACCCTCCTCCAAAACAAACAGTTTTAACTGCGTCCTTAGTTCTCCTGAAAAATGTTACACAAATGTATTCAAACTGGGTGATCTGGCCTTTTGCTTACATACAGTATAAAAGCTGTTTCATTCGAAAGCATTGAACGTGCGGGCGATGAGTCTAGCCACGCCCGCGTATCTTCTCAGAATTTTGTGTTATTCCAGCATATGCGCCGTCCATACGGAAAAACAAAGAGGGAACAAATTCAGCCTGAGCTTTCTATAGAAGTGAATAGAATTTATTATGTATGTTTATAATATCAAATGTCGTCTCATCTTCCCAATTCTCAATGAATTTAGCTCCCTCATTTTCTTATCTGCTCTCTTCGTTATTCGTCGTCTCTCGTCTCGACCTCCTCTATCTGGACGAGACACAGTCAAGCTATGACCACACTCATTCGTTTCCCTCCATTGTGCATTTTGCTTCCCCCCAGCGCCCCTTTAATCGATCGAAAATTTAATAAACGTCTTCATTAAACGTCACCTGTTATCTCTTTTCTTGCTGCTCCCCATATCTGGCTATCGCTAACTTTCTTACATTCTCTGATGCGACCAAGCGACTGACTCAATCTTTCGATCCCCCCACTCGGGGGTGTGCGAGCCCCTCTCAAGGGCTCGATACAGACAGAGAACGAAAGCCGAAAGTGGTGCCATCGTGGTCGACTAATAAAATTATCACGCCCGTTTTGGCGGTTTTCTACCCTATCCCCATTATTGCCGACCACCTCCTCACTTGTTTTACTCCCCTGCCAAGCCAGCTATTCGTCCCGCACCGCTGGTTTTCTCGCTGCAGTATGTGTAGCGGTATTGTCTCGCAGGAGTAGAGCAGACTGTGTCAGCCTCCATCTCTGACTTTGAAGAGGCAAGATAATACATCTGATACTCGGAACACGCACCAGTCCAAATAAAGGTAGCTGCTTTCTGTATGGCGATGATCACTCGCGTTTCTCAACGAAAAAGCTCTGAAAAGTTTCGTAGTATATTTCTACTGAGTGGACGCTGGTGAGAGTAGATGAGAAAAGACAAACTACCTATAGGAAGGAAAGCAACGAGAGAGGGGTGATCTAAATCAGCTCCAAAGCCGTCGTAGAGTTAGTTAATAGCTGGAAAAGAGGATGCGACGAACCAGAGGAAAAACGAAACGTTTTTGGCTCTATTCGGCCAGGGCACGCCTATTGAAATAGAGATACGTGCACAATGTTGCACAGTGCATTGCCTATCTTTGAATAAGAGCGAGAGGGTCTTGACTAGAGATTCTGGTCGACCTGTGCAGGGAATGATGGCTCCCAGGTATTAATTACTCTACATTCTGAGCTTTGTGTCTTTGAGACATGCACCTAGCATGTTTAGAAGGCAATGCCTTCATTCTAGTTGTGAATGAAATAATAAGTATCGCATTTTCGAAAGGACTCTAGCGAAACATCGCCGAAATTCAAAAGTGGTCCTACCATAGTCAGTTGCTCACTACCATTGGCCATTGCTTACTTTACCAATTCGATTGATAAATATGATAACATGTGTTGCAGGGCGCCTTCGTTGTTATTGAAATGGCTTATATTTTTTGGGTAGAAAGGATGCTTTGAAGGAATAGTTCTTTATTTGATACGCCACGTTAGCAGTAGTTGACACAATGTGTTTCTCGTTGGATCTGCACGTACAGGGTACGTGAAATGAAACCATCTCTATCATATGATGACGCTACGCAGGTGATGCTC